AGCGAGGCAGAGGAAGGCAGGCAGGTCAAGCCCACGTGCCGCCTTGCAGCATGACACAGCTAATAACGGCGTATTTTTAACCTGCTGAGGGGCAGGCACTCAGCTGCTGCCCTTCAAAGGGTCCGGCTATTTACAGAACAGCACCTTTGCCTTGCTGTGAGCCCAGCCTTGATGTCATCGCCTCTTCGGAGCCATTTGTTCACCTTTATTTATCCTGGGATCCCCCAAGGCTGTTTAATTTCAGAGCTAAAGCCATGTTGACCCAGCAGCAGCGATACTTCCTGCCTGCATTCCTCCTCTTCTCATTACTTTATATTAAAAGCGATTTCACTTGCAGTCACATCTCGCACTATTTATAACCCACGAGAGGGAATATTTTACAGCAGAGCTGGTATTTGGAGGCTCTGCCTCTGCCCAGGTGGGTCTGGGGGCATCACGCCCCAGAGCATCCCCCCTGTTGAGCCCAGCCAGGTGAGCATCATGGCTGGGAAGGGATTTACCTTTACGTCGTGAGGGTCTTGGGGCAAGCACACCCGCTTGCGTGCACCCACGTATCCCCAGGACCCCCCACAGGCTCACCCACCCCGCAACCGCATCCCGGCAGCACTGAAAAAAAAGCAGGCTTTTGTTTTGACTGGCGCTTGTTCCCCGGTTGAATGAGTAAGGAACAGCTTGGGAATGACTCACCTTCCCCATCAGGCAATTAGCACCAGATCTGCAGCTAATGAGTTGTCCCTGTCTCTCACCGGGCAGAGGTAAGATACATATTTAAAGAGATCATGAAAATAAAACACTAACCCCCACCCCGCCTGGCCCCATCGCAGGCTATTTTTAAAACACAGCTTAATTATCCAGGTGGGCAGTGCTGGGATGAAGGGAGCTGGGTGCCCAGGGGCCAGCAGGACCCACACACGCTCCCACCGTCATCCCTCGGCCCCGGGGAGGAGCAGAGGAGGGATCCAGCTGGAGATCCCAGCTCCTCCAAAAGCATCTGAGTGCCCACGCCGAGCTCTGCCGATCGGCAGGGAGATGGTGTCCGCGAGGTGCCAGTGCAATGCCTTCATCCCAGTTCATGCGACGAACTTTTCTAATCGATGCTCGTCGTGAATAGAAACCTTCTAGGAATCCAGCGTCGTCTCCGGCCGGTTTATTAATGATTAACAGCAGGCTGCCTTTCAAAATAAAGACTTTAGATGTGATTTGGGGGTGCGGGGAGGGGGGGGATACACCCTCTCAACTCACTGGGTTATTTTGCTGCTGAAAGGGAGAAATGAGCAAGTTGAGAAAAAAAGCCACAGCACAGGAGGGCACAGCAGAGGGGGGCCAGCTTCAAATTGCTCCATTAACGCTGCTGCTAATTGCGTTCCTGCTGTTCGACGCAACAGCAGCCAAAAAGAAAAAAAAAAAAAAAAAAAAAAGAAAAACCAAATTTGCTATTTCAATCTGCAATCCCAGGCAGCGAACCGCAGCTGATTAAGGAGGATTCAGAGAGTGCCAAAGCCGAAGCCAGCGCGGTATCATCGAACCTGGGACGGGGGGCACGGAGCAAACCCGGCAGAAGAGCGTGGAAAGGAGCAGCGGGAAGTGGGCTGGAAGTAAGGACAGCTGAAAACGATGACTGTGGAGAAGGGTAGACCGGGACAGCACGGGCAGGGAGAAGGAATGTGAAGAGGCTGGGCTTGTGCTGAGCCGGGCAATACGTTGCCTGGCCGGGCGATATGAGGAGGACAAAGCTGGGAGCAGAGGGGGAGGATGCTTCTCTGGCTTCAAACCTCCGTTGGGTTTATCCCTCGCTTTGCCCGAACCTCTCAGCCCTGCGGACCCCCCCGGTCTCACCCCTCAGTGTCCTTCACACCCTCCTGGAGCCTTCAGTGGGGACCTCGGGGGGTCCCCTCACCGCAAACCCGGGCGTCGATGCAAAATTTGAAGCACGCACCACGCAAGGTCTCTGCAGAGGGCGGGTGGGATCACTGACTGTGAATCGTCTGGTAGGTTCTGCATCAAGCCCTGCTACACCAGGACTGCACAGGGACCTGCTCGAGGTTGTAGCCCGTCGAAAAGGTGACCATGGGCTCGTGGAAGGAAGGAGTAAGGTGCCAGGAGCTCTTGAGGACACTCCTGTAAGCTCGGTGGATCGCCTGGAAGTGCTGGTTTCTCTCCACTGATGCAGAAGGGGCTGGGAGAGCCAGTTCCGAGGCAGCACAGAAGAGACAAAGTTGGAGAGGAAGAGGAGGGAACTAGTTCATCCCAACGGTCACGACACTAGCACTGCACATTCGGTTTTTAGCCTTGTGTGTCACAGAAGATGAAAGCCCCACCCGGCCCTGAAGCTTTCAAGTAATTCCCAGGTTCCCCTGTCCATCCCCAGAAATCATCAGAGCTGCTTTGTTCAAATTAAGATTTCCCCGAGGGCCACAACCTGGCTCCTGCTTTGCAAATTTACAACTGCTGGAGAAGGATATAAAAAAAGAGCTTTTTTGCCGGCAAGTGTTCCCAGTGGGGAGCCTTGATGTCTGGGTAATTTTGTTATCCGTGCACGAGGAGTCCCTTCCTTCTGCATTCTGCATAATAAATAAGCAGAAAGAAGCAAAGGCTTTTTACCCCCTTCATCCAGCTGAAAACTACTGAGACTCGGATGCCTCCACTGCACAGCACAAAGCAAGGGGGGGAAGGAGATTCCCTCCCAAATAACCCACCACAGCTGCCCAGAAGGGAGGAAAGGACCGTTGCTCCCAAAACAGCCTGGGGGATCACCAATTCTGCTGCCTTCTCCTCCAAAAGCAACGCGGCTCTCCACCCCCACGCCGAACTTCAGTATCTACAAGCAAGAGCAACTTGATCTCATTGAAGAGGCTCCTTGCAGGGCGGGGGGTTGGACTAGATGACCTTTAAAGGTCCCTTCCGACCCAAACTGTCCTGCGATTTTATGATTTCAAGATAAAACACCCCCTTGCGCAGCAGCTCGCCCTCCCAAGAGGAGATGCGAGGAAGCAGAAGCCTCGTCAGCAACGTTGCTCCTGCCCAAACCCAGCAAACGGGTAAATCCATCCAGCAACTCAACTGAGACAGACCCTGGATTCACAGGGAAGGAAGATCGTGACCATTTTCACCCCGCCTACGCGCTCGCGGTTGTCGGTATAATCCGACCACGAACCAGACCAAGGGTCCGAGTCGAAAACACGCCGCCGGCATTGCTGAAAAGCCACTTAATTCACGCAACAGCAAGGGACGAGGGGACAGGCAAAGCCACCTCGCCCAAATTCAAAGCCACGCTGCTTTTGCCCACCCAGGGCCTCATCCTGATGGAGCGAGCACGCTCATTCTGCATTAGCAGCACATTCCCTGGAAGTAATAAAAGCCCCTCAGGCCATTAATATGGAAATGTATTCCCGCTCCACGGCAGCGAGATGTTTGCGCAGATTGGAAGCAGCTTGCTGAGATTTGCTTCTGAATGCGTGGACATTAAAGCCTCCCATTACAATGTTGATGATTTCTTCCCTTTTGATGAATAGCCTGCCATAAATAGACTCTGATTAATTGCGGCTGCACTTGGAGGGCTGGAAATGCATCATTTGCTGCTGTGGATTGGGATAATGGTCATCATCTGCCTTTGAGTGCCATTCAGCAGGAGAGGGGCTCGGCTCTGCCTGCGAAGCCAGGTGGCTGGTTTCAAGTTTTTGCGCCAGAATCTTGTTCGCACACGCAGCTCCGAATAAAGGGCTCGGGCACCTCGCTGCAGGCGAGCTCACTGCCAGCTTTTTCTTATTCCTCATCTCCAATGAGGGACAGGAGAGCCGGTGGGAAGCAGAAATGGGCCGAGCATCCTAAGGGGGCCGGTGGGTCGAGAGAGCTGAGTTGCGGGAAGGAATGAGACGTGCACAGAATCGCCCCCGCGCACGGTTTGCCGGAGCCATGCACGCGTCCTCGCACGCTCGAATATGCACAAGCACCTGGGCCAACTAATGAAGAAAGGCACGGCACCCCGCCACGCCGAAGCCCTGGTCCCCGAAGCCACCGGCTGTGGACCTTTGGTGATCCTTGAGCATCACATCCTCAGGATGCCCAGGCACTGCAACCAAAATCCCCTTCCTAGAGCGCTCTCCTGAGTTGCACAGAATATATAAATAATACATATAAAGAACATATTTTTCAAAATATAAATATATATATAAAAATGGAATAAAAATATGAATAATGCCCCAACGTTCGGGTATGTTGGCAAGCTGCTGAGCCCTCCCTGAGCACAGGCAGGGCAGGCAGAGGAGGCAACGCTGCGCGGGGCCCCCTAGCTCGCGGTGGTGGCGGCAGCAGCAGCGTGGATGCTCAGGGAGTTGCCATGGAAACCTCAGAGCCTTGGGATGCAGCTGAGCATCACCGAGGGCTACAGCCGGGGCGGGACGGTGCAGGAAGGTGTAGGTAGCTCTCTGCCAGGCTGGGCTGGGTGGTAACGGGGCTCGGAGGGCCGTGTCCCCCCCTGTTCAAGAGGGAGCCGGGCACTTTGCACCCTCCTCGCCCACCCTCACCCATCATTTACTCCTTGCTCATTAAGGGGGCTGAAAGGCTCCGCATTCATTTTGCGGGATTTGCGTATTAATGATGTCACCGCGTCCCTGGGAAGCTGTGCCAGGACACCACAAAAATGCTGATGGTACCAGAGTGGATTAGGAACCCTGGGAGGGCACCCACAGGGCAGAAATGCAGAGCGGGGCATGGCCGGGGGGGACAAGGACACGCGGATGCAGGAAGGATTTACAAGCTCTGCTGGCTGAGTGGAGGCAAACGAGGTCTCGGGGACTGAAGCACGTAAGTAAATTCTGGCGAGACGGCTCTGCTGTCAGGACAGGAGGGAAGGAGCTGAGGGAGCAAGGCTGCACATCCACGGAGACGTGGGGTGGCGTGGGGCTGGCACCGGGGCCCGGCAACGCGACCCCGAGGCTGAGCAGCTCCCACGTATCAGGTGCACCCAGCGTATCAACCCAACGACTGACGCAACTCCGAGCTATCTAAAGCAGCACTTGCGGTTCATTTTGGGGACAAAACCAGGGGAGAAATGGATTTGCAACCAGAGGAGCAGCAGTGGATGCAAACAACCCCGGATGACGCCTGCATCCGAGAGCCACGAAGCGCATCTAGGCAGAGAGCTCTGCGCCAACCGCCCCGTTCATCATCCCCGCGCTATTAATTTAAGCAAGGAAAAAGCCAGCCCACCACACTGGAGTTTTTCTGGAGCAAAAGCAGCTGAGGGCAAGTTCCTGGTGCTCGTCTCAAAGGGATGAGAAGCAGAGGGTTTAAACAGCTCCTTGCAGAGCGGCCCCTGAGGGTCAGCAGGGTGCAAACCTCCGGGAGGTTTCAGGGACTTCAAAGCCAGCGGATGCCGACACATCTCCCTGCTCCGGCACAGTCCTAGCACAATGATCCAGCCAGTCTCATCAACAGCCACTGCCTGAGCTGGAAACACGCAGCTGCTAAGGCATGGAAGACCCCCCCCTTGCCTTTTGGCCAGCTGTTTCTATGATTCATTACTCCTATGATTAAAAAAAAAATAATAATTAAAACCTGAAGGATACTCACCCTTTCCTTCTGGTCTCAGTTTGTCTAACACCAAACTGGGGCACATCCCTTATTAACTGGTCCAGCACCCCACGCAAACCATTTCGACATCACATTTCTCTTGCTTAAGCTTCCAGCCCTGGCATCTCTCCCTGGCTTTTCTCTACTGGACTCAGAGATGTGGGGACCCCTCCCAGGAGGGTTTCACACCAGGCGGGGAGGCAGGAGAAGTCTCCAACTCCCTCAAAAAAGAGAAAGATCCTTCCCAGCGTGTTTTTTCACTGCTGTAGGTTTTGAAATACTTGTTTGAAGGTAGCAGGTTTAATGGGCCAACTGAAAACCATAAAACCAGGCACTAATTGGCTCAGTGAAAAGCGAAACGGGCTGAGCTCCGACTCTGGCCGTTCTGCAGCTCCCATCGCTCTTGTCAACTCGCTGGGGCTGATGAGGAAGCGTAATGTGCAGCCCAAGTGGTGATTAATCATTACAGTTGGTGCTTTAAGAGTAAGGAAAAATAAGCAAACAACCCACCAGGAAAAATCTGCTGGAAGCTGGGAAAATTTATAACTTATCGGTCGTGAAGCGGATGGTATCGTTCCGTACTGCAGAGGGGAAGAGCAGCGGGCAGCCCCTTGCCCGGACACCTCCGAGCTGGTCCCGCTGACGCTTCCAGGAGGGAACTCGAAGCAGGGACAGGACACGGGGCCAGGGACCAGCAGAGCCCAGCGGGTGCTGGGCCTGAGAGTCCAAACACCCTTCGGCAAGGAGGTTGAGCTCAGGTATCCGGGCACTTCCCCCGCCGGGGCACGGGCAGCCGGGCGGCGGGGGCTGATCCGCCGGCTCCGAGCGCAGGAGCTGGGCAGCTCTCGCCCTTCCACACTGAACCGACGTCCCAGTGCCCCCCCACTCCATCCCATTGCCTTCCCACTCCACCCCAGTGCCTCCCCTCCACCCCAGTGCCTCCCCTCCACCCCAGTGCCTCCCCACTCCACCCCAGTGCCTCCCCTCCACCCCAGTGCCTCCCCACTCCACCCCAGTGCCTCCCCTCCACCCCAGTGCCTCCCCACTCCACCCCAGTGCCTCCCCTCCACCCCAGTGCCTCCCCACTCCACCCCAGTGCCTCCCCTCCACCCCAGTGCCTCCCCGCTCCACCTCAGTGCCTCCCCTCCATCCCAGTGCCTCCCCTCCATCCCAGTGCCTCCTCACTCCATCCCAGTGCCTCCCCACTCCATCCCAGTGCCTCCCCTCCATCCCAGTGCCTCCCCTCCAACCCAGTGCCTCCTCACTCCATCCCAGTGCCTCCCCACTCCACCCCAGTGCCTCCCCTCCACCCCAGTGCCTCCCCACTCCATCCCAGTGCCTCCCCTCCACCCCAGTGCCTCCCCACTCCACCCCAGTGCCTCCCCACTCCATCCCAGTGCCTCCCCACTCCACCCCAGTGCCTCCTCACTCCATCCCAGTGCCTCCCCACTCCACCCCAGTGCCTCCCCGCTCCACCCCAGTGCCTCCCCACTCCACCCCAGTGCCTCCCCACTCCATCCCAGTGCCACCCCACTCCACCTCAGTGCCTCCCCACTCCATCCCAGTGCCACCCCACTCCACCCCAGTGCCTCCTCACTCCATCCCAGTGCCTGCCCACTCCACCCCAGTGCCTCCCCTCCACCCCAGTGCCTCCCCTCCAACCCAGTGCCTCCCCACTCCATCCCAGTGCCTCCCCTCCACCCCAGTGCCTCCCCACTCCACCCCAGTGCCACCCCACTCCATCCCAGTGCCTCCCCACTCCACCCCAGTGCCTCCCCACTCCATCCCAGTGCCTCCCCACTCCACCCCAGTGCCACCCCACTCCACCCCAGTGCCTCCCCACTCCATCCCAGTGCCACCCCACTCCATCCCAGTGCCTCCCCACTCCATCCCAGTGCCTCCCCACTCCACCCCAGTGCCTCCCCTCCATCCCAGTGCCTCCCCACTCCACCCCAGTGCCTCCCCACTCCACCCCAGTGCCTCCCCACTCCACCCCAGTGCCTCCCCACTGCACCCCAGTGCCTCTCCACTGCACCCCAGTGCCTCCCCTCCATCCCAGTGCCTCCCCACTCCACCCCAGTGCCTCCCCTCCACCCCAGTGCCTCCCCACTCCACTCCAGTGCCTCCCCCCTCCATCCCAGTGCCTCCCCACTCCACCCCAGTGCCTCTCCACTCCATCCCAGTGCCTCCCCTCCACCCCAGTGCCTCCCCACTCCACCCCAGTGCCTCCCCACTCCACCCCAGTGCCTCCCCTCCATCCCAGTGCCTCCCCGCTCCATCCCAGTGCCTCCCCGCTCCACCCCAGTGCCTCCCCACTCCACCCCAGTGCCTCCCCACTCCACCCCAGTGCCTCCCCACTCCACCCCAGTGCCTCCCCTCCATCCCAGTGCCTCCCCGCTCCATCCCAGTGCCTCCCCGCTCCATCCCAGTGCCTCCCCGCTCCACCCCAGTGCCTCCCCTCCACCCCAGTGCCTCCCCACTCCACCCCAGTGCCTCCCCACTCCATCCCAGTGCCTCCCCACTCCACCCCAGTGCCTCCCCACTCCACCCCAGTGCCACCCCACTCCACCCCAGTGCCACCCCACTCCATCCCAGTGCCTCCCCACTCCACCCCAGCACAGGCACCAGGCCCTGCCATACCTGGCAGCCTAGTTTCCAACACCAGGAAAGGAAACTCCCCGCGATTTGCAGCCAGAGCTTCCCGGTGGCACCTCAGCATGGCCATGGGATTTACCAACCCTGCTGCTGGCCAGGCCTGTCCCAGCACCTCTCCACTTCAGAAACAGCCCGCACCAGCGCGGGGTTGGGGCGTGATGGCAGGAGAGGGGCTGGAGGAGGGAGCCATCCCCCTCCGGGGAGGTTCACGCTGGGCTGGGAGCAGCACAGAGCCCGGGGCAGGCATCTGGCCGCTGCTCTTCCTTTTTCCAGCATTAAAGCAACCGGGGGTGGAGGTAGGAGGCTGGAGGAGAAGAATTAGGCTAACGATCACCCAGCAGCATTTCCTCACTCACGTCCCGTTGGAAGCAGAACTACATACAGGAAAGTGGCTGTGATGCATTCGGGATAGAAAAACGGCTGCTTTAAAATAATAATTGTCATAAAAAAAAAAAAAAAAAAAAAGAAAAATTTAAAAGCAAAGCTGGCAAGTTTTGTGACCTAGCAAGAACAAAAGGCACTTTATAATCACCCGTGGGGGCTGCTGTCAGGACAAGGACTGTCAACCCACGAGCTGGACATGCCTGAGTTTCCAGATGAGGAGGGAAAGGCAGGAGCAGCGATGGGGGGGACAAGGAGACCTCGCACAGCTGAGGCAAAGGCCATCAGAGTCTTTGTCACATTGAAATGTTCTTTGAGACCTTTAATGGAAATAACGACCTAAATACTAGCTGGTGCTGGTGAACATGAATAAATCATGCTCCCCCATCTATTATAGAGCAGCCGGGAGGCACACAGCACCCCAGGGTCCCTGCTCAGGTGGGCAAAGATCAGAGGTGGCAGCTGCCCGGAGGAATTCAGCCTCAGCTCTATTGCCAAGCCCAAATCTCTTTTCCTTGGTCTCCAAGCACATGGGAGCTCCTACAACTTGCTCTCTACTAATTCACCGTCAAAGAACAGAAAGCACCCAGCACAGCCCGGCCTCACCAAGGACGTTTTGTTCTGGGGGTAAAGCTGCAGCATAGAGATAAACGTCCGGGAGACACGGGGCAGCTTGCTAAGGTATCTCACTGAAAGCAGCGGAGATTTGGGGGAAAAAAAAGAGAAGCAAAAATCACAAGCCCAGCTGGGAAGGGACCCCTGGTGGCCTGGGCCCCCCCCCGACCACGAGGTCAATCTGCATTTCAGAGCCATGGCAGGAAAATGAACCGGTCCAATTCCTCCTGAGCTTGCCCTGTGGATGGAAAGCCCCCTGGGGTTGCCACGCTGCTGGGTGCTGCAGCTCCAAGGTGCTGCTGGGCTCGTGCCCCCGTGGGTGCAGCACCCACAAAGAGCCTGGGTGGGTTCACAGCAAACCCAGCGGCTCACAAACGTCGGGTTCTCCAGCACCCCAGTGCCTCTTGCTGGGAGCGGGGCTTTCCAGCAGCACCCTTGCCTTGCAAGCACGGCTCCTGACCCTGCAGCAGGAGTTTGCGAACACACCAGCACCCTCCAAGCCCAGTAAAAGCGCTTTGTGCTAAAATAGAAGGGGAAAAAAAAAATATATATATATATAAAAAATAAAAAATAATCCAGCCTCATTCTCTCCCTCCCCTCCCCGAGGGGGAACCTCGCACAAACCATCGCTTCCCTCCCCAAACCCTCCAGGCTGCACCCAGGCGAGCTCAGTCCTGCACCGCAGAGACGCAGCAGCCCAGCCCCTTCCCACCAGGCCACGGCAGGGAAGGATGGCTCTTATTTAAGCTGGGAGCGCCTAAAAATAATTAGCAGGAAAGTTCATTACAGCAGAGCTAAAGGCTCCAACGTCGTCCTTGGAAGCTGCCAGCAGCTCTCCCGCAGCTGGCAGGGGCGTGCACGCTGCTCGCTTGCCCAGACCCGTAATGAAACGCAAAGGTGGGGGGGGGGGGGAAACTCAGCAAATTAGATCCAGTTGATGATCCAATTAAGGTTATGTTTGCAGAACTATTGGACGCAAAAGCCAGTCCCTGGGCAGATGCCACGCTGAGAGGCAGCTCGCACAAAATGGCCCTGCAGGGAACGCGTAGGGGGGGCGGGTTGGGGAGTTGCGTCGAGTTTCATCTTCGTGCAACAGCTCAAGAGCTACATCTAGAGGTGCAGGCACCCTCCGAGCCGACAATGGAACGAGGGATGATATCTCTCCTTCCTGGAATATTTGCAATCTGAGCAACGGGTTCCTTCACCCGTGACAGCTACGGCTCACGGAAAAGCAGAGATAATGCCTTTTGATGCCGGCGTCTGTCCCACCAGCGATCGTCTCGGCTACGAGCAGGTCCCGGCGGTGCGGGCTCCAGCCTCAGCTGGGCTCTCGAGCCGACCTTTGCCTCCCCCCCAAAATCCTCTGTGCCCTCACCCCGCTCAGGGTAAGCGACAAAAGCGCTTGATGCCAGCAGAGAGTAAGCAGGAACCTTAAAACAAGGGATTAGTTCGGAAACTTTGCATGAATGTTAATTGAACGCAAAGTGCCATCGGGGTGGCGTGATGGAGGGGCGGGGCGGAGGCAAAGATCGGGCTGCGCAAATGGGATTTTGCTGCAGTTGTCACTTCCCTGGCAAGAGGGATCTGAGGGATCAAGAAATTCAGTAACAGGGATTAGATGGAGCCCCCCAAAATAATTGCATTCCACTGAGCGCTCCCTTGCTTCCTGACAGGTTTAAATGGCAGCATTAAATAAACCCGCTCCGGTGCGTCCATGTGCCCTTCTGGATGGCAATTCCTAATTCCTGGGGAACTGTCACTGCAAGCAAACGGCAGCGCGGCCTGGCTGTGGAAGGGAAAACTCAGGGATGCTCCCAGGATGGTGCTGGCTGGCATGGAGACACCGGAGCAAGCCCCAGAGAGCATCCATGGGTCGGCTGCGATTCATCCGGAGCGAAGGGAGAGGGCTCAGCACAAAGCTCCTGAGGCATGGATGGGACCCGGGGTCCTGACTTGGGTGCTGCTTTGGGCTTTGGGTGCTGGTGCTTCGGTCCGTGGGGACCCCACTCTTTCCAGGAGAAGGGACGGACCCTCAGCCAGGCAACTGCTGCTTCTCCACCGGCCCCGGCTCTGCGCCTCATAAAGAGACTTCCTTGAGCAGACCGTGGGTCATTTCACTTGCATCTTCCAGAAAACACAATTTCTGCAGGGCCTCTGTAAAAACTAACACGTCGGGATCGAGCCGCTCGGTAACACACCCAACAAACCCCACTTCAACCTCCTCTCCCTTCACACAACCACCACCAGAACCTCGCCCCAGCGTGACCATGCCGTTTAATCCCGTCAAGACTTTGGTCTGTTAACCAGAACATTGCTCACAGCTCCACACTGCACCCAAGAAGCTTCCCCCCCCCCCCCAAATAATCTTTATTATTTTTTCTGGGGCAGAAATGCCAAATACGAGCATCCTCTGTGTCCTCGTGAGCACAAGAGCTGCTCATCTTTCCACGTGGGGCCCCAGCCGCTTCACCGCAGCCCCTAAAGAGCAGGTTGTGCATAGGGGCTTCCCTCCATCCACGCGCACCAGCACATACCTCTCCGTAGGTGAAAGAGGTGCAATTTTAACCTCAATTCCCTCCCCCAGCTCCTTTCCAGGGCTGAGAAGCGGGGAGCTGCTGCGTCACCAGCCCGAGGACAGGCGTCGGGAGTCTCGCAGCCCCCGCTTTAATAACGGCACTTGACAGAGATGGATGCGACCTCCTGCAGCACGGCCCTCGCCAGCCAGCACAGGCTGCCCTCTCCGCGGGCGGGCGTAACGCACCGCAGATTTGGCAGGCGGGAAAATCGGTCTTGAGCCTGGGGTTTGGGGTAGGAGCACGGGCAAAAAGGGCGGGGGGGGCTATCCCTTCCCTGCCTGCCTCTTGCCTTCGGCCTCCTCGATACCGCACGACTCGGGGCCGAGCGAGCTGGAGAAAAGCATCGGCCTCTGACAGCCTCAGACCTGCCTCCAGCGCCGCTCCTGATCTCCTGGGATGCCACAGCCTCTTCCTCAGGCCCTGGGGAGAAACCAGAAGAAATCCCTTAAATGATCCTTCTGGAGAAGCGAAGGCTTCAAACGCGATCCAGTCAGAAGCGGTTACTGTTAGTGTCACCGCTCCAGCGACGGAATCCAAGGGCTGCTGCTTGGAGTACCGAGCCAGGAACGGGGCTAGACGGAGCCGTGCTGCTCCGTGACTCACCCCGGAACGGGACCGCGAAGGGACGCGAATCCAGGCCACGACGGCACGCCAAATCAGCTTACCGCACCGCAGATGCTCGCTGAGCGCGGCAACAAGCGCCTTGTTCCCCGGGGAAAGGGCGAGAGACCAAAGCAGCTCATGGTTTAGGACCTCTGCAATGAGATAAACCGGAGCCAGGACCGGTTCCTGAGCGGAGCTGAACCCAAATCCTGGGGCGACCGACACCAAAACCTGTGGTGTCAACCAACGTGAGGGGTTGCTTGGACCCCAACGTACAGCACAGAGCCCCAGCAGGGTTATTTGTGCTTTAGGGCACTTTCAGCCGTAGTAAACATCCTAAACACCGTCCCCGGCCATCAGCAAGCACTTTCCAGAAGCCAGCACCTTCTCACGCAGCCCCCCAGCTCGCTGCCGTGAGGTTCTCACCCCTTACAAACCCCCCTGCCTCTGACAAGAGCAGAAAGCTGCCGGTAGCATCTTAATCCCCACCCCAAAATTCTCCACCTTCTCTTTTTGTTTTCCCCAGGACCACAGCCATCTCAGCAACCTTTTACTTGGGGGCGGAGGCGATCCCCGCCCTGCCTCCCCCCTTCTGACAGGGATCTGAACCCGGAACCGGGATCCCCCCCGCCGCGGCAGGAATCGCAGCTGGGAAGCAAAACCACTGCAGCCACAGAAAGACGCTTGGCTGCCGCTGCTTTTACTGTATTACCACATCTCCAGACAGAGATGACATCTCTGCTTGCTTGTATTTACCTTTGATCTTGCTTTCATGATACCACAGTTATTTGAGGTAATTTTTCTTTTGGAAGTTCTCACCTGCTTGTCACCCTGAGCTGGATATTTTTCCTTTTTTCTTTTTTTTTTTTTTTTCTTCTTTTAAAAAAAAGAAAATCGATGTGTAGCTATGGAAACCAACTTCCATCTGATGCGCCAGAGCCTTCCATCTCCCCAGCAAAAAAGCAGAATGGTGGCAAGCAATATTCAGATGTTTGGTTTTGGCGACCACGGTAATCGGAGAGAGCACGTAGGAGATGGTGCCTCTTCCCCCAGCTCTAAGATGGGAGTTTTTAGAAAAAAAAAAAAAACAAAAACAACCAACACACCGAGGAGCCACTCTCCATAATGGCTGATTTCATACCACGAATGGAACACCCAAATTCTCAGAACTGAGGAGAGGTGGGGAGTAGTTATTAAATTGCACTAGAAGTACTGGGTTTACCTTATCTGAAGTAACACCTTGTACCAGGATCGAAACAGTTCTTACGAAATAAGACATCGATTCGACGCAAAGCAGAACAACTCAACCACAAAAGAGAAAATAGAATATTAGCTTATAGCTTAAGACAAAGTTGGAGAAGTTTTTCTTAATACCATGCAAGCCACACTTCCACTGTGGGCTAATTTTAACAGGACCAAAACAACGAGAGCCAACTCAGCACAGCTTGCAGAGGTTTCTCTTTGTTCCAATAGAAGCAACAAGATCTCTACAGGCAAAGGAGCAGAAATAATCAATACCAGAGCTCTTGAACTGTTTAATTGGAGAGGGCTTTATTTTCTGCTTAAGAGAACTGGAACTATACAGCTGGTTTGCATTGGACCAAAGCTGGGATTTTTTTTTTTCTTTTTCCGTTTTTATTTCACTAAACATAAGCAATGCAGTGTAACTGGAAAACAATGACTTACAGTGTTCAAACCACAAGTGGATCGAGAGGAGCTTGAGAGAAAAAAAAAAAAAAAAACAAAAAAACCCAAAAAAACCCCAAACAAACAAAAAAAACCAAACCAGCCTTCTAGCTAAAACTGAAAATCCACAACACAGTCCGCCCTACAGAATGGCACTGCCGTCTCTAAATAATGGAGTGACCTCAGGCTGGAATGGGAAGCACACAGCATCCTACGTACCGCTACACAGCTCAGGCTGGCTACTGATCTTCCTGCAGTGGCAACTACTGGCCGTTAGCCTCTCGTGTTTGCATTCAGGACCAAAAGGCATCTTCAAGTTTTAGAGTCAAAGCAGTGGCAGGAGCGGAGAGAGCTCCCGGTGCCACTGCGTGACAGGACAGAGGGACGATCCTCGCCGAGACAGACAGCTGCGTTAAGGGAAGCTACGGCCGGGCACCGCGGGCCGGGAGCCCTGGGCTAAGCTGGCTCCTCGTCTGCTATCTTACGGTCAAATTTATGAATGGCTTTAGTGAATCAGTTCTACAAGCCAACAGGCTGGACTGCAGAGCCAACGCCGTTCATTCCGGTTAAAATGCGTTTAAACAAACATGCAGAGGGTGGGGGAGTTCGTTCTGTCATAGCACCAGGGTTCACAAGTCAGCGTCGCCATCATCGGTGCTGCGCTGCAATAAATACTCTGCGTCTCGAGCAGGGTGGATGTGGGAAGCACTGAAGTGTGACCTTTAGCATTGACAATTCCTCAGCTTAGGAGACATGTCAATATAACTCAAGCAGCTGTGGCATGCCAGAAATGTTGTTTATAACATTCTCTTTGCTTATGAAAGATGCTACTGTCTTATTTTGATTGTGTTCTCACCCTTGGCTAACCATGCATCTCTGCAGGTGAAAAACATTGTGTCAGGTGCCACAGAAGATATTGAGATATGAAATGAGCTTTTTTTTTTTTTTAAACTGGATATGAAGTTCATTTGGGAGAGTGCAGGGTTGGAGTAGGTTTTGGTTGTTATTTTTTTGTTGTTTTTTTTTTTTTTTTTTTGTGTGTGTGTTTTTTTTGTGTTTTGTTTTGTTTTGTTTTTTTCCTTTCTTCCCCTCGCCCTTTCCTTTCTACATGTCACCAAGGCACTTCACTCTGTGCGTAGGATGATGTGGATCCCTGATTCTGTGAAAACTGGTCCGCTCATCTCGCCAGCCCTCAGCGCAAATGAGGCATCTTCAAAAGGTTTCTGCATCTGACCTGCAGAGAGCAGACACCAGAAAGTTCAATTAAGCTCAGCAACGAATGGAAGATCTTTCTGAGCAAGCAAGCCTCAAATGAAGACAGCTTCCAGGCAAACAACAAAGTCACCAATTAATAACTTGCAGGGGGTGTTTGTTTTCATCTGCTCCCAGAAGATGATGCAAAACAACTCATTCACACATGCACGTACACAGACTTTTCCTTTTTTAAAAACAGGGGGTTTGTTCAGATCCTACAGATATCACTGCAGCAAGGAAAGATATTCAGAGAGCTGCGGACCTGAAAGGCAGAGGAAATCTGTTCTGCAGACTCACTGGCACAAGCGGATGTTCGTTCGTCTTCCAGTCTCATGTGCCCTCCAGGTACACAGGGGGAATAGATGCGGTGTGCATTACAAGCTGTGCTAAATAATTTACAAGGCACACGTGGATAATGTCATGACCTAGAAAATAACTGCTCTTAAGGCTCCGGGCTCCGAGTCACTGAGTTTCAGGAGGTTCAGTAATCCAGGCTCAGGAAAGCCAGAGGTGCTCAGAGGAGGGACCCTGCACGGGGGTTCATGAGCACAACTACCGCAGCTCTGCAGGGAGAGGAGGAATGAGAAGCACAAGGGCTCAGCCAGAACAATTCAAGCCGAGAGGAGACACACCAGCCTGCTTCAAGGCAGGGGGGGGAAAGGGGGGAACAGTATTTTTGCCCAATTTCCTGTGACAGAAGTTAGAGCAGGGAAACTGCCCGCCCCAGCCAAAATAATGAGGTTTTACTGTTACCAACAGGTCGAAGTCTCAGTGGGGGGGCTCTCAGCAAAAGCTTCAGCAGAAGGACAAGATGTCTGCGAGGGAAGGCCAGGAGGTGACAGTCCCCCGGGGCGCAGAGGGAACCTTTACTCTCTGCTCTTAGCACTGACCACGCTTGCAGAGCTTGCCTCGAGATGCCCGAGGACATGTACAGACCAGCGTCTTGCCAAAGACGCAACATCAATCTCCTGCAAGTTTATGACCCTTGTCTCCAAGCTTTGAGGCGGTGCCGTAGCTCTGGACTCTGCAGCACATTAGGAGAGGGCTGCAGAAAGCATCAGCAGACATCCCAGCGATATACTCATCTCTTTGAAAAACTAAAGCTTCCCAACCCCTTCCAAGAGCACACATCCCAGATGCAGCGCATCTAGCCCAGCAGCAGCTCCAGAATTTATGTTTTACTTTCGGGCCTCCATCCATCTGTAGCCCTTTCTCTAGCGAGGCAGTTAGATGCCACAAAAGATGCTCAATTCCCCCCTTTTCAGGACTAGCAATAGCTTCAGCTTGGCACTTTCCACTTCCAAAAAAAAGTGGTTTATTACTGAAGTGACCTGATGCATGCAGCTTTCCAGAGTTTGGCTTCTCTCATTTCAGCATTTAGATTAATTGCTAGGAGAGGCAAGCAGCTTGCCTGGCTCACAAGCTCCAGTTACGACGCCAGTGTCATTCACTGTCAGGCAGGCCTGCCTCATCACCTGAATTTTTTGGTTATTTTCCACTAGGACACGAAATCTTTACTTCAGATGAGGTAACAGCCTCCCCTGCTACACCTCAGTGGTCTTCTTCGAGCAGAAACATGGCTTATTTGAAAGGTTTCAAGAAGACAAATTGAAATGTTTTAATAACTTCACCTCCGAAGTAACCAGTGCTCCAAGTTCTAACAAATTAGATTTTCAGCTCAGGAAAAAAAACCAAAACAAAACAAAAACCAAATGTGGATGGAGTGACAGCTCAGGGGCTTGGCCACCACAACCACGCATGGTTCCAATGCCATCTAGTGGAAACTGGCTCTTGCAACATTTCTTTACATTTTGGTGCAGCCAGAAGAAAAAAAAAAAAAAAAAAAAAAAATCTCTTTCTGTATGTCTCGAAAGAGCACAACGAGCTGAGTTTCTATTGAAAGCAAAATAGCAGACACGGCAGCCTAGGATTAATGTTTCATTATATATGAAGCCATAAAATAACACTTTTTAGCTCTGTCTGAATGAATCTCTTTGAGGAAGCAACTGTTGCTAAACTGTAGCAATGCTGCATCCTAATGAGGAACTGTGATTACCAAGGGTATTTTGGCCGGAAAAAAAAAAAAAAAAACAAAACAATAAACCAAACCAAACTACATTCCTGACCAGTTTCACCTGTGAAAGGCGGGTGGGCTTCAGCTAACAGGGGCTGAAAGAGTGACCCGGGAGCCCTCTCCACGGTTACGTCTGCAGCAGCAGCGAGCCCACTAGTGTTTTAAATATTCCCAAGACACCCTAAGTGGGGTAAGAGCGCAGCACGGCGAGGCAGCTGTGCGAAACCTGCAAAATCTGGGTACTTGCTGCAGGGTACGAGCCCGAGACGAGCTTCTGAATGCTTCAGTCCACGAACCCCGAGCAGGAGCTTAGGAAAAACACTTCCATTAAAATGCCACACTGGACGGCTGTTCGCCATTTCAGACGTGGGCAGCTCTTACTACAGACCTTCCTCTGGGATCGCTGCGAGTCCCTGTGACTTTGGGGCACAGATTCTAACAATAAAGACAGCATTCTCTCTCCCTGGCAAGAACCCTTCTTGATCCTCTTCAAATAAAATATGCACGGACACCCTCGCTATAAAAAGGTTTGTTCTTTGAATATTGGAGCTGTACTCGTGACATCGTTGCTTTTTATTTTCCTCCTAGTGGAAATTACTGCAAAAAGCATTCGTAAATTAAAGCAAAAGAGGTTTCAACGTTACACTTTCCCATCCCAAAGATTCTGCCTCCCACACCAGCAAATCTCATTAACGAGGAAGCATCCACGAGCTTTTTGTTGTCGCTCCCTCACTGCACTGATCAATAATCCTGTAACAAAATCTCTCACCAGCGACATTATTTCGGTGGGCTGTGAATTGTTCTTATTTCCACAATTTGTTAATAGCTTTCTCATTGAAGATTAGAATGCCAAATCATTTATCTGGCGTGCCATTAGCAAGACTTATCTGCTTCTTCCTTATTCATGGCCCATTATGCTGTGCAACTGGATTTCCATTCAGTGTAGCCGGAAAACCCTTCTCCAGAGGGAAAAGCCATTTTCAGGAAGGGCGTTTGCACATCTCCTCTCTGCCTAGAATAATATTATGGTTGCATTCCTAATTGGTTTAACTTCTAGGCATCAAGCTACATTTCCTGCACAGCAGGCCACCTAGGATATAAATCCATTTTCATGTTCATTCCCCCAGCAGCGGGGCACATTATTAAACCCCACCTCCCTGCCAAGATCAGCATCAAGTCTGTAATCTTGATCTGGCACTCACGCTGCCAGGCTGAGCTCCACTCACCTCTTCCAAACGCGCCCAGATCACCGCCCGCTTTTGCCGAGCTGCAGTCGCTAAACTGGGAAGCGAGAGATTCAAAATCCTCTTCTCCCGATTTTATCTTCTGGATGTAGCCTGTAAATACAGGGCATAATTCAGTCAGGGGAAGGAAAAATGGGAAGGGGGAAAAAACCCAAACCCCAAACCTCACCTTAAGCTTTACACCCCACAGCAGGAAGAGCACAAACACCCACGTACGCGCACCACGCACACAAAGCGAGGCTTTCAAGCCCCCTCAACGAAGACACAGCCAGAGCTAAACTTTCCTAACACCCCAAAAGCACTTGTCTCTTTTTTTTTTTTTTTTTACCCCCAAGCACATTTCCTTCTTTGCACCGTGGTTCACTTCTACTTAAGCTTCTATTAAATAAAAAAGTTGGTTCCGCCTACTACTACCCCTGAAGCACAGGAATTTATTATTAGGCTCGAAAATAGATGAGCTTTTGATTTCAGAAGGGCTCACCTCGGTAGAAGACCGAGCACATAGAATCCCCGAGGAGTGAATTATTTGTCAAGACAGCTTTTTAAAAGGTCAGTCAAGAAATATTCGTGGTCTTAACCGAGAGCTCTGCCTCACTGTTCTGAATCTTTCCGGCCCAGCGGAAAACTCCCCTGCTAACTCATAACAAGAAAGCCTAAGAGATAAATCATATTTTCCAGTCAATAGCTTGATAACATGGTTGTGGAGCCACTAATTATAGATACTGACTGCTCTCGGCGACGAGCAAAGCACAAGTGCCACGGACACATCCCTTAACGCAGCGTGAGGCAGCTTTTCATGGATTCTCCAGACAACAAGAAAACCCTGCGCAGTTTCATGCAACGCAGCCAGCCACCTTCATTAAAAGGAGCGTAACCACTAATCAAAATCCCAAGGTATCCCTGGTCCCACTTGCAGCCATCCGCCACCAAAACACCAGTTAGTACCAGTTGCAAGAATTGCTTCTGTAAGAGGACAGTGGCGTAAGCTGGACTCCCGAGTCGGGGAACCGCAGCTGGATCTGGCTGCTGGTTAACCCTCCACCTTCCCAAAGCAGCCTGCTCCTGCCAGAGGGGCTTGCCTTCCGCATTTTGCGCCAGGAGGGATACATTAAGACTAAATTACATTGCAAAAAATCATCCATCCATGTATTTCAAGCAAAGGAGCATCTCCCAGAGGAATTCAGCTACGCACGCCCCAGCGCACAGAGAACAGCCCCAAACCGCTGCTGCAGCTTCCAACCCAAAGTGACTCTCCGTACCTGATGAAATCCAGATAAACTTACTTCTCACTAGAAATGTGTTTAATTTTTAAATCCCTCTTTCCAGAAGCCTCCTGTCAAGCTTTTGAAAGAATCGCCAAAGCCTGACTGTCTTCCATTTTAGACCTACGCGGTCTTCCACCTTCAAAAAGAAATACTGAGAAGCAACTGATCTTCTGTAACAGAAAAATCAAGAGAAAAGAAATGTTGCTTCCCTCTCTCGAAGCAATTAAGTCTCCTGGTTTTGATAACCAAACTTCCTGGTTTAGGTTGCTCTCGTGTAAGCCCTGTAGCCTACATGTACAAAGAGTCTGCGCTTTGCTAGATAAACCTCTAAAAAAAAGAAAAAAACAAACTAAAAAACCCCCAAATTGGGCTGAGCACAGTTTTTTCCAGCCAGAAGCAGTAGAAGAACCCTACCTGAAAAAGGGTCACGCGCGTACTTCAAGAGCTAGGCTTTATTATTTTGAGGAATGCTCTCATGAAAGGAAGAGGGCAGTTTATGATGCAAAAGGATGAGGAAATAAGTATTTTCCAGCTTGTTTTAATGTTATATACTTTTATACACCCGAGGAAGTATCTGTGAGGGCTGGGGGCAGGTAAGAAAATATTCCTTAATGAGAGACTAGAGATTGTCTCTTAGGAGTTGACATATCCAGCGGGAACAGAAAAAGCACGCTATCAATTTTTGAATTAACTCCTTTATTGCAGTTTTATGCTAGCAAGACCAAAACTAAGGGATTTTAAGTCTTCACATTACTCTTCCACCCTACAGCCCATTTTTCCTCCCCACATTGGTCATCTCGTTAAATCACCTGCCACTAGCCAAAATCTCTGGAATTCAGCAAGGCGTTCAGGACAGCTAGGTTTGTTTTTCCAGCTGGACAGGAAAAGCTACCACCCCCCCCCCAAAAAAAATGGGAATAGGAGATTGATGACTTCTGGATCTAGAGTTTGATTTTTATTAAACAGGTGTCCTGAATATAATTCAAAAGCCATCAAAAGTTATCTTAATTCCTAAAGTGCATAACCTGCTTTAACAGGAAATACCAGCGCTCGTTACCTAAATGAGATTGTACACATTAATCCTACCTGCTGCTTAGAGGGCACACGTACAGGTGGAGAAAGTCTAACACGAAAGTCTGAAACTCTACAAAACTTAAGACAACAGCTTTTTCTCCTGCATTAAAAAGAGAAAAAGGATTATTTATCTGGGTGGAAGACAGATCACAACATTCAAGTTTTAGGAAAGAAACTGACACTGGTTCATACCGTTCAACTAAGCTGCTTGTGCATAAGCAGTCTACTTGCTGACAGAAAAAGAGTTTATCCTAAAAAGACATATTTGCACCACCATAAATACGTATCTAATTGCATATAGCTGCCAATCCCCAGCAAGGACCCGTCACACATCACACCCAGAAGTGTCAGGAATTACAGCTTCCAGATACTCGCTGATGTTAAAGTAATAAAGCATCCAAATTAAGGATCAGAGTGTTTACATTTATATCCTAAACCGTCTGCCCGGGTCACATCAGCAGGTTCCTGGTGGGAAGGAGTTTCCTAAGTCTGTGGAGCAAACCAGTCAACTACATGTTGAAAGAGAATTTAGTTATTAAAACCTCCGAATTTTATGGCAGTGACAAGCCTGAGGGCAAAATCTGCCTGTCAGCGAGCTGAGGGTTGTCCTGGATAAAGCCTCTGGCTGAAGTAGTTGTTTCAAGCCACCTCTACCAGAACAAACACCTGCACCTCGCGTCTGAACTTCGGCTCTGTGAAGTGGGATTAATGAGTTTTTCCCCAAATGATCTCAGCCGTTTAGAACAAATTCTGCAGCTTAGGTGCCGTCTAGGTTTTAATAAACCACGCCTAAAAATCTCCAGGCGTCAGTGAAATTGAATAATGGGAGATTAGTGCAAAAAGAGTAAGATGAAGAACGACAATGGATTGTGCTGAAAGGGGGCGTATTGGGGAAGAAAAGCTTTCGGGGACTGAACTTTGGGATGAATCCTAGCTGCTTCTGCAACAAGAAACAGGGGTAATCTAACAAAATATGCAAATAATGAGCTGGAGGGTGGGGAATCACTGCAGCAGAAAGAAGGATCAGAATATTAAACATGACCCGAATGACCAAGCAAAAACCAATGACACCAAGTGAACTCGCACACGCATTTATAGACACAACAACAACAAAAAAGATCTGCTCTACGCAGAGAGCTCGATCAGGAGGAGGACGGAAATGCGGAATTACACATAACTCCAAAGCAGGTAGCAGGACTTTAAAAGCGAGAAGCACAGCGCTGAAGTCATGGTACCCTCAGCAGAGAGAAGGGCAAGTAAGTAAATGCCACAGTAGAAGGCACAGCCAAGAGCTTATCTGGAATATTGCATACCGCGACAAACCCACGCTCAAGAAAGATTAATCGAAACTGAAGTGCAAAGGAGGGCTAAGAGTAGAAACAGCAGAAGGGATGACCTACATTACCAGAAACTAAAAGCCTGGTTGGCTCAGCGTGCAAAAACAGGCTGGTAAAGAGCAGGGCGCTCTAAATCCACTGAGAGGTCAACATCAGGAAGAAATTAAATTTAATTAAGTAATTAAACAACACTAATGCAAGAAACACCGGAGAGAAACGGATCGTAACTAGTATTTAGCTGGAAACCGGGTTTCTGCACATCGGAGCAGGGATGGTCTGAAATACCTTCATGGCAAATCCAGCCAGAACCCCAACTGCCTCTTAAACGGTGCTTGATAAAGCTTGCAGAGGGAACTAAGAGGTTTCACAACCTTTAATATCAGGGTCGGCTCAAATCTGAAATTTCTTTCTAGTCCCACATTCCCTGCGATGTTATCACCTACCAGAAAAGCACCCGGTGAGCCAAGTCCTCCAACTCCTGCTGTAGCCCAACAGGAGAGCTAACCTACATTTGAGCCTCTGCTGCAACTTTCTTAATGGATTAAAAATCATTCACGGACAACGCGCTCCTCCGGCTCTCTCAGCTCTCCTCCCTTATTACCAGAGAAAAGCCATCAAATGGAATATTTGACATCAATCAAGTTCACCTATCAAAAACATTTATCTTTAGCATCATCCCCTCTCCTGTGGGGACAAAGAGCTCCCTAATCAAATTTCTTTCTCAGATTTTTATTGCATAAAGCATTAACACCGGAGCTGGATTCAGACAGAGATCTCTCAGACACAACCGATCCCCAAACAAAACATGAAAATGTGTGGTATCGTGCCTGTCAAACAAATTCCTCCCCAGAGACCTACTTCGACAATTCCACGCTATAATTACATTCACCAGGTACAGTACATCTGTTCAGAGAAGTTCCTTGATGCCTGACTGTCAGGAGCTGTTGCGGAGCCGAGCCGTGCATCCTCCCAATAAGTTTCAGCTGTTCTAGAAACTTGACCTACAGTAATTTTCAAGAAGCCACCGCAAAATAATCAACAATAAGCTGATGCTGCCTATGACCTTCCCAGGAATAGTGTTTATTGGGGATAAATGTGGACAGAAAGGTGGTTGAGGGGTTTTTTTGGGGGTGGGGTTTGACAGTAGTATTCCCATCATAGGAATTAATTCCCTAATGGCCTTTACCAAGAGACAAGCAGGGTATGTACATGAAGTAAGTTTTAATCGCAACTCTGTCCTCTTCAGACACCACAGAGAGATTATGAAACAAGACATTTGATAGTGAGAAGGCTCTGAAGCTGTCGAGCTTAATCTCATTCTTTCGAGCCAAGGAAAGTTTAAGCTGTTCCTTTCCATCACTTTACCAGATAGCAAAGAATTGTGGCATCTCAAAGAAAAGCACCCAAACAAAGAATAATGACAATTGTTGAGTCCAAGTAACCTTACCACGGCTTCTAAGGATAACCAGTTTATAGAACATCTACATATCAAAACATCTAGCTGGTCAGAAGCTCCTGAAATACCTCTTTAGAAATAACGAGACATTTCCCTTCTAAAATATAAGTCATTCCCTCTTACAAAGATCCCAGTTCACCTATGCCTGTTTAAAACACGCCAGCATCATACATCATTCAACCTCTGGTCTGTAGAGAGCTCTGCACTGGCCTGTTAACAAACATCACTCCAAGAAATGGCTCTAGAGTAGTTTTATTCTTAAAAAAAAAAAAAAAAAAAAAAAAAAGAAAAGAGAGACAGAGAGAATTTGCAGCTCAGCTGAAATATTTCAACCTAGTTATCTTTGCAACAGTCTCAACTGCCTTGGCACAGATCTCCACACTTGGCATGCATCTCGCTTTATCACCTCCGGGCACACTTTCTCAGCCACCCTAACCCAAAGGGGACAATTCCCTAAAAAAATTCCCAGCTGTGCCAGTTAATTTAACTTTCCCTTCCAAAAGGCGGAGAGCAGATACCACCTGCTGGTCACTGCCTTGCTGCTTCAAATGACTTCGCAAAGAAATTTCCCCTCCTAGGGCTTTCAGGGAAGAAAGTCCTTAAATTTGTTGTTGGTTAGGACCAAGGCAATAGACAAAACACCCTCCCTATCTTCCCTCCTTCATTGCTGAAGCCATAAAAGATAAGACAAGCCTGGTACTGTGGTACATATCTGTGTGCTCTCAGCCTGCAGCGCATCAGCTAGCCTTGCACCCTCACTGCCAGAAAAGATAAAGAGCACAGTCTCAGTTCCATCAATTAATCAGTGGGACTGATTTAAACCTCACCTTAAGCCCACAAATCCCTTATCCTACGAAGTAAAAGCCAGTAGTAACAGCTGGACTTTGAGCTTGCTTCCCTAAGATCAAAAAAACCTCGACGCTGAAGAAACACGACATCAATTCAATTCTACTGCCAGAGCTGCAAGGGAAAATCTAGGCTGCAAAGATTAACACCACCAAGCGCAGAAGACACGCAGCGCCCTCACTCCTAGACCAGATCACAAGCTAGAACACTCCGGGAACAGCCCGAGCTGATCAGGCCACCCGCACACCTCGTGCAAGGCTGATGGCCTCCTATAAGCAACTCGATTTCAAGCAGAGGTTAATTAGAACTTACTCTAAGTTGCTATTAGGGCAAGGAGTCAAGTGACATTAAATAAAAAGAAATGTTTAAAGAACATTTGTTTTAGCTTTAAATAAATTTTATTTTTAATATAAAAATACACATTTACAAAGAAAATACAAACAAACCTCTGAAATAACATTACAAAAAAAACACCAAGGGGAAGACACATGGGCTGGGGCCTATCTTTAAGTCATTTCATCATACAGCAAAATTGTTTCTCCAAGTGCCTGGGCCACACGAAAGTCCATGTTCAAACCACTTGGCTCAAAAAACTCTGCTTTAGTAAGTTCACACTGAACCACTCATCTCGGGGTCCAATTCTAGCCTTAAAATGACTTTTCCCCTTCAACAGTACCATATTCTCTCTCTCTCTCTCCTGCATTTACTTGCCATTTATAAGCTCCAGTGCCTCATCTTTGGTCCGCGTGATCTTTTCCTGCCTCCACGACGAGGGTCTTCTGGACTGGTTGTGTTTCACCAAGAGATGTGAACATCGCACTTTGCTAGGCTCCCCTTGGCCGTTCTTCCCGCTGCCGCTGGGCCGTTCCCACTGGCTGGCATTTGTGATATGGTTGAAGTAATAAACACGGCCTGCGGACAGAGAGAAGGGGCCGGGGTTAAAAAACAAGCTGCTGGCAGACCCTGAGAATCAGCTTCTTGACCCCAAGAATCGGCATCTGGCCCCAAGAATGATCTGCTTGGCCCCCTGGGCACAGAAGACTGGATTTCCGCAAGTGCTCGGCCACGTCCACGCCATCAGCTCAAACACATGAGGTAGGAGGCAAGACTTTACAACTCCACGTAACTTCCCATGCAGGACTTTCCATCGGGAAGCGCCTTTAGTCAAAGCAACAGCCCCGCGCAGAAACGGGCTCCGGCTGCCTTTCCAAATCACGACGCTCGCCCAGATCAGCGGCAAAACTCCCACTGACACAGTCAGAACCACAAACACCCCCAGGCAACACCCTGCCACTGCCGGGAAGGCGGACGGTGCCACATTTCTGGCCTGAGGATAAGACTGTGTCCCACGCTAGCCCTGTTTAAAGAGTCAATCGGTGTAAAATCTCTCTGTTAAGCACATCCTGCAGCAAATGCAGTGAGCGACTTGTTAGCAAAGATCACATCTCTGCACTGGCACAGACCTTTCCTCCTGAAAATCAACTTTTTTTTTTTTTCCTACCAGAAAAGAAGACTTTCCTACACATGACATCCAGAGTTTCCCCAGGCAGCAGAAAATGAAGTTCTGGTGAAGTCACCTCTCAACACATTCAGCATTAGAGCCAGGTCGTTCTGCTGCCCAAAGGCCTTCCAGCGCTCAGAGCCAGGCGTGAGTTTACCTGCGATAACTCGCAGCATCAATCAAGATGATTTCTGCTTTCTTCTAGCGAATCATTCATCCCAAAGCTCTCCGCTGAAGCTAGGAGCAGACTAGCCTCAAGAAAAATGCCAAGCAAACCAAGGTGAGGGACTGCAAGGGCAGAGCTGCACGGCGGGAAGCTACAGAGTAGCAAAGGGCCCAGATTCCCGGTTGCGATCACAACCGACAGCGCAGACCCGTGAACACAAAACTCCTTCTCTCCAGGACACTTCAACCGCAGTAGCTCTTGGCAAAGAAGGGTTCACGCGGGCCCCTTTTCCCCTACGCCTCAGGCAAACGAGCTGAGCAGCCGAGTTGAAGAACACGACCTCCTAGGAGCTGCTCTTGAGCCACCAAGTGTGCAAAGCTCCTACCGCAAAGGCTGAAAGCGCCGTCCTGACCCACAACTCCCCCCCCCCAGCCCCACCGAGGGCAAAGCGTCCTGCCACGCTCTAGCCCGGCCTTTTATAAAGCGGCTTCTCCTTGCTCTGCCACCCTGCCCCGCTCCCCTCCACACCATTACCCCAGACAGAGCAACCCCCCCCACGCGGCCTCGGGCATCCCCCCTCCCCCCCCAACCACGGTCCCAGGAGCCGCTTCGCCGCCCCCCCCCCCCCCCCCGCAAGCCAAACCCCTCCTCAGGGGCACCGCACCCCGCAGATCCCCCTAACTCGCCCCACCGCAGCACCTCCCGGCCCCCAGCACCGCTCACGGCCCCTCAGACCCCACCGAGGCCAGGGTCGGGCCCACCGGGCCGCGCCCACACCGGGGGGATCCCCCCAAACCGGATCCCCGAAAGCCCGCAAAGCCCAACCCGCCGCCCCGGGAGCGGGCACCCCTAAACCCCTCCGCTCCCGGCGTCGCTGCCCGTACCGGAGCTGCGGCTCATGCGCTTCTCCCAACCCGCGGGCAGCTTCTCCTCCTCCGCCATCTTCCCTCGGCCGCACCGCCCGCGCCCGGCCCGGCCCCATTGGCGCGGGGAGGACCCGCCCCTCCCCTGCTCCCATTGGCCCGAGGGAAGACGGCGCCCACCCCACCCCGCGTTGCCATTGGTGGTGGCGCCCGCCTTTCTGGCGGCAGCCCGCAGTGAGCCCGGGAGCGGTCCCGGGGCACGTGACGCAGGAGCGGACGGTGGCTGCGGGCGGGCAAAAGGAGTAAGAACGCGGAGGGAAACGGCAACGCGTAACGCCCCCCAACCCCCCCCGCGGCTCCCGAACCAGACGGCAGCCAGAAAGTCGAGAAACACATTTATTAGAAACCACTTAAACAATCCAGGGCAGCTTACAGCAGGTTTAGAGCCTCAACATGGCTCCGGTTCGGCCATACGGCAGAGGGGAGGGGAAAGGAAAGGAGGGGGGTGGAACGGGGGGGGATTGGCGGTGGGTCCCACGGAGAAAGCACCGGGAGGAACCGGGAAGGGAGGGCAGCCGCTACTGGTAGTAGAGCTCCAGGTTCATGCCATCATGGATTTCATCTGGAGGACGGAGTTAAGGAGGAGATGGATTCGCAGCTTCCCCCCCCACACACACAGCACCCTAAAACACCCGCCCGAGAAGGATACAGTCGCCCAGCGTGACGTGATCCTTGAAGATGGTGTACCTGCGGGGACGGAAAACACAGCTACCCGGTGTCCAGGGGCGACGGCGCAGCCCGGGACAACGGCACCTTCAACCCCGCCCCCCCAGCTCCACTCACCACTTTTTAAGCACGATTTTATCCCAACGGGTCCCGGTCTGCGCCGCGATCAGCTTCTTCAGGTCGCGGATGGAGTCCTCGGTGCTGGCGGGGCCGTTAAGGAAAAAGAGAAACCGGGAGGAGACCCCGCCGACCCGGGATCACCCCACACCCCCGCCCCACGCCCCCCGTTGGCGAGGATACTTGCATTTTACTCGCACTTTTTTACCCAGACGGTCGTTGCAAACGACTTCGATCATCGTTGACCTGAGGGACGAGGCGCCGGTGATTAACGCGGAGGAGCGAGGAGACACCGGGAGGGGCGGGGGGGGGGGGGAAGGATCCGGGAGGGGTTATCGGTAAGGAAAAGGGTTAATTATGTAAGGAAAAGGGTTAATTAGGGGGTCGCGGTCCCACCGGAGCCCCCCCTCCCCGGTCTCACCGAGCTCTGCGTCACTCCGCCACTGCCGCCCCGCGGAACCGGAAGCCGCGCCGGAAGCGGAAGTGACGCTCGGTTTCCGTGAAGCGGCCAAGATGGCGACGGTGGAGGAGGTGACAGAGCTGCCGGTGTTGCCCGATTCCGTGTTGCTGAGGGTTTTGGAGCTGCTGCCGCTGCGGGATCGGCTGCGGGCGGCGAGGTGAGACCCCCCCACACACTTCCCTGCCGCCTCCCGCCCGGGCCCCGGCACCGATCGGTCGTTGTTTCCCCCCCCCCCCCCCCAGGGTCTGCCGGCGGTGGCAGCGGCTGGCGCTGGACCGGGCGGTTTGGAGAGATGTGGATCTGAGTCCGCACCGGGTACGGGCCCCCTCCGCGCACCGGGAAGGCGATCGCCCCACGGCGCGGGGAGAGGGGACACACACACACTACACACATCACCCCAGTGCGGGTGGGGGTGTCACCCTACAGCGAGCAAGGAGCTGATTTAGTGGGGGGGGGACACACACGCGATCACCCCACTATGGGCACGGGGGTGAGATGGGGGAAGGGGGGGGGGGCTGGAGGGGGGGTACACTATGAGCAGGGGGCTGAGATGGACGGGGGTGGGGGGGACACAATCACCCCGCTGCAGATGGGGGGCTGGGGGGGGGAAATCACCCCACTATGGGCTGGGGGGGGGGGGAGGCCTCACCCCACTACAGGCAGGGGGCTGATGGGGGGGGGGGATCACCCCACTATGGGCTGGGGTGGGGGGGAGGCCTCACCCCACTACAGGCAGGGGGCTGATGGGGGGGGGGGGATCACCCCACTATGGGCAGGGGGCCGATATGATGGACGTTGCGGGGGGGGGGGGGCATGATTACCCCACTGGGGGCCAGTGGGGTGTCACCCCACTGCAAGCAGGGAACTGAGGGGGGGGAGATTACCCCAGTGTGGGTGGGGGTCCAGAGGGAACATCACCCCACTGTAGGCAGGGTCGGGGGGGGGTGTGACCCTACTGCGGGCAGGGGGCTAAGATGGGGGGAGGGGGGCGGAGGTGGGAAGACAATCACCCCACTGTGGGCAGGGGGCTGAGATGGGGGGTGCTGGGGGGGGGGAGCTGATCACCCCACTATGGGCAGGGGGCTGAGATGGGGAAAGATCACCCCACGTGGGGGAGGGGGAGGGGGTTAGGGATCACCCCACGGCAGGTGGGGGGCTGGGGGAAGACATCACCCCACTGTGGGAGGGGGGTGGGGGTGTGTCACCCTACTGCGGGCAGGGGGCTGAGATGGGGGAAGATCACCCCACTGTGGGCTGAGGGCGGGAGTGTCACCTTTCTGGGGGGAGACATCACCCTACTGGGGGGGGGGCTGAGATATGGGGTGTTGGGGGGGGGATGATCACCCCACTGTGGGCTGGGGGGGGCTGTCACCCTACTGTCAGCAGGGTGCTGAGATGGGGGGGTGTTGGAGGGGGGGGGATGATCACCCCACTATGGGCAGGGAAGATCACCCCACTGTGGGCAGAAGCTGAGGGGGGAATCACCCCACTACAGGCACGGGGGTCCCCCCCTTTTTGCACTCCCCCCCCCTCCATGCCCTTTCCTTCCCCCCCCACCCCCCCAGCTCACCTCCCAGACCCTGTGGCACCTGGTGCGGCGGCGGCTGCGCGACAGCCTGCGGACGCTGCGGCTGCGGGGCGCGCTGGGCTCCGGCGGCAAGCGACGGCTCCTCTCCCCGCCGCTGCTGGCCGCTCTCGGGGAACGCTGTCCCCACCTCGGCCGCCTGGCCCTGGCAGACGCCGACCTCCGCCCCCTCCCCTACGACACCATCCCTGCTTCCCTCACCGCCCTGGAGCTGACTCGCTGCGAAATCCCTGCCGCTTGGTTCCGTGCCTCCTCCGCGAGGGCCCCGCCCCGGCTGCAGCACCTCGTTATCCGCAACGTCCCCGCCTTTTCCGATCGCCATTTGCTCAACGTCTCCTCCCTGAACCCCCTGAAGACGCTGAGCCTTTGTGGCACCTACCGCGTCACAGATACGGGGATCCAGAGAGCATCTCCCCACCTGGAAGCCCTGGAGCACCTCGTGCTGCGCCACTGCGTCATCGGTGACTCCGCCGCAGATTTCCTCGGGCGCCACGCGAAGCGGCTCCGGATCCTGGAGATCGGCGACGCTTGTTCCCTGACGGACGCCGGCCTGGCTTCTTTAGCAACCCTGCAGCTCCTGGAGTCGCTGTGCCTTGATCTCGGCTATCAGATTTCCCCTGGTGCTGTTATCGCTTTGTGCCGAGCGCTGCCCCAGCTGAGGAACCTCAGATTAGGCGGGGCTCACTTGGAAGATGAAGTAATGGGTGAAATTCAGGCGAGTTTGCCTCGCTGTAGCTGTTCACCTGCTCCTTGACACCCTGCCTGAAGCAGCGTGGCTTTTGCTGTTCATTTTTACACTTGAAGTGCTCCTTTTTGGGTAAAGCCTGTTTTTCTGCGAGCTGCTGTGTGTATTTTAGAGACAGAATTTCCACGGGGGCTAAAATGGCAAGTGTGGCATGTAAAATGGTTTGTCAGGAGCTTGGGTTTGGTAGGATCCCCCCCTTTTCTGTGGATTGGGGGTACAGGAAAGCCAGGGAGCACGCAGCTTTTGAGTCCCCTGCTGCTGAGCTGACCAAAGACTGGCTGAGGTTACGAGTTTAACCTCTGTCCGCTCCTCTTCCCCTCCACTAAACATCCAGCAGCAGCTCAACGAGTGCAGAATTTGAGGAGCGAAGTGAGGCACCCTCCTGCCACCCAAAAAAAAAAAAAAAAAAAAAAATCTGGCAGCCCAAACTCCCAGACTCCCAGTTAATATCCAACTCCGATTGCTTAACCGCCCTGCACGTACTCTCCAAACTCCGCCAGGGACAAAATACCTCAAGCGACACGTGCCGGAGCTGCTGGATTTTTGGAAGACCTCAGGTGACCCCCCAGACAGCGGGCGTTTTCAAGCCCAGGATGTCGTTTTACTTCTACTTTCCTTCAAATTCAGTTCGTCAAGTTTACTTCTCAGAAAGGTTTTGGTCACGGGGCTTCCTGAACGCCCGGTCCCAAGAGCCACAGGGCCCGTTTGCGCGGCCGCCGGGCTGGCACGTGCTCCTGGGCATCGCCGGGGGCTGCTGTTACCTCTGGGTTTGGCTGGGAGCAGCCACGTTTCCTCGTCACCTTTTATTGTCCTCATTCCCCTCCGCCCCACCATGTCGTAACGCCCGATAACAGACCCTGAGCCTTGTGACATCGCTGTTGTTGGGTCAGCCAAAGATGTTTTTTAATCAAATATTGTATTTAGTAAATAAAAAATACCTTTGATTCATGTTTTCTCGTGCTGCAAGGTTTTAACCGAACTAAATTTGTTAAAATAAAGAAGTTGGGCAGCTTTTGAGGCCGAGCAGTGTCCTCGGGTGTTGCCAGCTGCGGAGCTGCTGCCCTGGGATGAAGGTACGAGTGGGGCCGGAGCTCGGCACATCAGTCCCTCGGGGAGACCCATCGGTTTGTCTCCTGATTCAGCCAACCCTTCAGTCCTAGCAAAGCTTCTCCATTGCAGCAAGGAAACGCGTGGAATTACAACAAACTCGAAACACCCAAGTTCTGGAGCCTCTAAACACCCCGATCCCCTCCCCGAGAGGGTCCTCCCCGATGCAGGCTGACAGGGATGGGAACTGACGTTTCCCACAGTCGCTCGTGGTTTGGGTTCTTTTTTTTTTTAACCTCCCTTAGGAAACCCGGCAGGAGGATTAATGCCTCAGCGGAGCCTTTTCTGGGCTCTGCCTCGAGATCCCACTGGTTTCAGCCCACACCCCCCCTGCCCTCCGTTCGGCTGCAGCTTGTGCAATAAGGGATTCGGTTTCAGACCTGGATGGCAGTGACCCCCCCTGTGACGAAATCCTCGTTGCTGTACATCTCGTTAACAGCCGGTCTTTGTGCCCTGGCCTCCTTTCTGTTCCTATACACAATCTCAGTGCAGCTTTGGGGCAAATAAACAACAGTAAAATGCCCCAGCTCTGTTTTGGAAAGCACCCCAAGGCTGCTGGCTTAATAACTACCACTACGTGTTTATCACAAGCCTAGAGATTTACGCCAGAGTAATTAGCGTTATTAAAACTTCAAGCACTCCCTGTCCCAGCACTCTCTGGGCTCGGAGAGCGGAGGTAAAACAGCAAAAGGGAAAATTAAAACCAGTAAAAATCTGTCAGTCAGTCAAGGCACAGCTTGATGCGGCGAGAACTTAAATGTTCTCTCAATGTTTGCAGTGGGATGTTTGCGAGCCTGACGGCACGGCGCTCCCAACAACGTAATTTAATATCCGAGAGTCCCAACTTGCCAGTTTTCCATCATCTCCACAGAGCGCATAATTGCTAAACATGGAACAGCATGGAACAGCAATTACCGGGTTATGTGGTGCAAAGTGGGGTTTTCAGGTTCGGAAGCAGGAGGGGAGCTGCAAATACGGGCTGACCACGGGCAAGTTACGGGAGTAAAGGACTGAAAGGGTCTTCTTGAATCTTCAGTTCTGTTCCTGCCTCGGTAGAACAGCAGCTCACCCTCCTCACACATCTACTGAAGCTCTTGGAGGGCTCTTTCTAGACCCTTACTGCTTCTCATTTCCAAATTTGGGGCGTTTCTACTCTGTTAATCTCCATTTCAGCTTTTACCACCCTTTAACTTGAACATTTTTTCCCCAACCCCACCTTACAGCTGTCTATATGCACATCACACCATCTAAGCCCAGCTTTTTTAAAAAGACAGAATAAAAGATTTACAGCGAGCCAGCTTAAACCCTCAGCAAAGCCAGGGCACGAAGCAGCTCTCAGAGTCCTATCAGAGCTGAGAGGAGCAGAAATCCAGGGCTGCAAAAGCAAAAAGAAAGCTCAGAGAGGGCCTAAAACTTTCTGGGTCACCGGTTACTGCAGGGAGCAACCCTTAGTAATCAGCAAGCTGCTCCTAAGCCTCCATCACACATAGATTTATCCGGCACATCCCTACAGGTGCTTTCTCAGACCCAGTTTTATTTTCTTGGGTGAGCGCATCTGCTGGGGCGCTGCTTGTGCCTTCAGCTTTGGTTTCCAAACCAAAGACCGTTTGTTATTTTCCAGACCCGCTCGTTTCCACCCTTAGAGGAAACACCTCCAGAAACTTGAGAATTTGCCCCCCCCTTTTTTTTTTTTTAACTCCAAAGGGTTGGAGAGAATTATGAAGAAAAAGGGCACCCAGCTTGGCTGGAGGAAGAACCTCCAGACAGCTCAATTATTGGAACTGGACACAATCCAAGCTGCTATTTTGAGAGGGCAAACCAATAGGACACAGCCTGAAAAACTGCTGGTTAAATTATAACCTTTGGACTGAACATCCCTAGAGGTAGTGCGAGGGCTCTATCCCAGAAATCCTGGTGAAAAAAGCTTCTGCTTACTCAGCCCTAAGCTTCACCCAGTTTACCAGGATGGAGGAGGAACATCTTCACAATGATCTGCACGTTTTTGGAGGTAAACTTTGGCCACACCAGCCCTTCAACGCCCCCCACCTCGAGGAGACGGGCAGGAGCAGAGAGGGTGACGAGAACGTATCTTGTAGCGCAGCCTTTCTCCCCAAACAGCGCTTGGTTTGTGAGGGAGAGGAAGGTCGGTGCTCTCCTTCCTCCTCTGCTTAGGCAGCTTGGCTAATGAGCTCTAACGGGGTTTGGTTGGGAGGGGGAACCTCACCCTGACGAGCTTTTCCCCCGGGGTGGAGGCTCGGATGGAAGACGGGAGGGAAAAGGGACTTTGCTGCAGGTGTGGGCTGTGATGAAGATCCGGTGGTGCCCAACCAGCAACACCTGAGAGCGTTCAGCCTTGGGACTGTCCCGGCCCAGAGCAGAATTAGGCTCTTTGTGGGGCTTTCCCAAGTCCAGCTCCCCAAACCGAGGGGCGCAGCGCCCTTGCAAACCTCCCTAAGGCTGAACCTGGGAACCCAAGGGTGCTTCCAAGGCTCAGCCCCTCCAGGAAGGGCACCTGATGCCAGCAAAGAGCCCTCCAGACCGCGGACTGTTGCTGGGGGAACCATTCCCTTTTGGAAAAGGGTTACTAAATGGCCAGAAAGGTTTAAAAACATGTCACCGCTCAAAATACATGATGTAAGCTTATAATTTCTTTTTATTTTGCTTATCTGGTACCTGAAATCATCTTTGGCAAGGCCACTCCAGTGCTACCACAATGCGCTGCCTGGAAACTGTCTGGTTTGGGGTGCTTTCAGCCCCCCAGGTGGGTCTGAACAGGAATTATCATCCAAATTTTGGCTTCTGTAGCAAATAGTTAACTCTTCTGGGTTATTTATTAACCCTTCTATAAATGGAGCCAGAAGAGCTATGAAAAAAATCCCGGTGATCCCAGGGGAATATTTTCACATCTCTTGTTTTGTTTTAAAGACGGAAACTTCTTACAACAGAGGCTGAGATCCTTTTTCATGGTCTACTTGCTCCTGGCCCTCTCCTTCTTGCTGATCATCAGCCTGTTTGCTGTGTCGTTCTCCAGAGGTACTGGGACATCTTTGAACTAATTAATTAGGCAGGTAGGACCAAGAGATAGATGAGGTGAGTGCCCACTCATGTGTGAGAGGACTCTATAGATCCTAATTGCACAGGACAGAGTGTCCCGTGTAGTGACAGCTGCCACCCATGCCACCATCTCTGGCTAATCCAAGCTATAAGGCAGTATTTTAAATTTTCTGGGATTTCTTTGCCCCATAGACTGCTGGAAAAGTAAAGCAAATGTCTTTAGCCTTGATGGGGCGAGGTGCTTGCAGACAGTCAGCGCACGGGGTAGCATCATAACCGATAACCCAACATCTCTCCCTCTCTTCCAATAGTTTCAGACATTTCTTCCAAACTCAACGAGATGCACCTGGAACGGAAGCAGAACGTTTCTGGCAGGGATTTTCCCTGTAAGTTCTGGCTGCTGCCCAAACCCACAAGCTTTTCTTCCCCTCTGAAGTTTCCCTAAATTGTCCCCGAAGCATTCCTGCTCCGGATTGCATCGCTAAGGCGGTGCAGGGCATCCTTCCCCTTCCAGGTTTGCTGCTCTTGCCAGCAGCAAACGCTTTTATATTTTAGAAAAACCCCACAATTTTTCCTTGTGGGAGAGGCTGTTTCGGGGATCAGTTGCTGCCTTTGTGACAATCCAATCCTGAGCTTTAGGACCGTGCTGTTGTGTCTGTACCAGCTTGGCACGGGAGTGTTGCTGGGAAAACCTGCTTGCTGGGACGAGCCTGGCGAGGACCAGTTTGACTTCCCCCTCCTCATCCTTCTCTCGCCAGTGTTTCCCTGCGGACCCAGATCCAGGGAATGGGAATACTTTGATGGAAAATGTTACTACTTCTCCCTAACCAGAGTGAGCTGGTACAAGGCGAAGGCTCAGTGTGAGGAGATGCACTCGCAGCTGGCTGTCATTAACAGCTATGCCAAGCAGGTACAGACCCCAGCTCCAGGCAGGAAAACCCGGGCTTGCCCAAATCCTGCCCGCAGCCCCGGGCTCCTGCAGACCCCCCCCAGCACCCCCCGGGCTCCCTGCACCCCAATCTCACCGGGCAGCCGAGAGCCGGTGCTGTTATCCTTTGCATCAGCCAGCAGAGAGCAGGCAGAACCTGCTCTGCCCGCAGCCAGGGCTTCTTTTGGATGTGTGCGGGATGCTTAGGCCCAGCACCGGCACGTATCCTGCACCTCCACTTTGTAAATAAATAGCCAAACGCAGAGCTGAACCTCTCCAGCTCCTCCACGGTGCAAACGCGGAGCTGAGGTTGCCCGTTTCCTGGTGCTTTTCCCTCCTGATCCCTCTCCCCGCTGCAGAATTTTGTCATGTTCAGGACAAGGAATGAGCGTTTCTGGATCGGGCTCACGGACGAGAATTCGGAAGGGGAATGGGAATGGATCGACGGGACTGACTATAGAACCACGTTCACGTGAGTGCCAGCCTGCCCTGCCTTTTTGTGCCCATCACCCCCAGACAACAGGCAGCTTCCCTGCCCACATGCCCCTCTTTCAGCCAGCAGACCAGTTTCTTCACCCTGCCCTGGGACGGGCACTCACACAAGGGCTGACACAGCACCAGAGGCAAGAATTAGCACCTAAAACCATCTAAAATCAGGCAGGCTTAGCTAGTCCCTGCCCTTCTCCCAGCCCCAGGGAAAGCTGCTCCGCTCAGCTGCCTGCCCCTGCTGCCCTCGCTCAGGTTGATCCTTCTCTGCCCAGATTTTGGACCTCTCTCAGGTTGATCCTTCTCTGCCCAGATTTTGGAAGGAGGGAGAGCCCAACAACAGCGGCAGCAACGAAGATTGTGCCCACGTCTGGATCTCCGGGAAGTGGAACGACGTCTACTGCACCTACGAGTGCTACTACATCTGCGAAAAGGCTCTGCCCAACTGAGCAAAGCCCCGCGCGGAGGCGACGTCCGATGCTCTGGCACCCTAAATGTTCCTTTTTTCTTCTTAATTTATACTATCCAAACGCCCGCTCCCTGCTCTTCCTCCCCACCGCGCTGTCCTGAGGAAGAGCAGGGATGGATTTTTGACGGTCCTAAGCAATATACGCAGGAATCCAGGTTCTCCGTGGTGAGCTCAGCTTAATAAAGGACGATTATTGCTCTGGTTAACGAAGCTTCTGTTTCTAGGCAAGTGTGTGGAGGGGTGGGGGTGAGCTGGGGCTTCAAATGTGCAGGTCAGCAGCAACGCCGGGATCAGGCTGGGGATAAACGGGACAGAATATGGGATTTGCTGCCCAGGTTTTCCTCCCGAGGGAAGAAAAAACCCACATAATTTTCATAACTTTTCCTTTTCTGTTGTTTCAATTTGGATTCTACATGACAAAATTGGCCGGTACTTGTTTGTTATAATGTGAAATTCAATCGTGGTTCAGCTCTGCGTCACTTTGGTCACTGACGGGGTCTTGGGCTCCAGGACCCCGCAGGGATTGGGCTCCCTCCCACCTTTTCCCCCCCAAAATAGCTCATTTGGGGCCAGATTGGGAAACCTTGAGCTCCCACGCTGGTTTCAGGCAGGAGGCTGCTCCCACCTCTCCCCCCTCCCCCCGCGAAGAGCCACTGACAGCACCCGGTTCTTGCACACGCTTGTGCGCTGCGAGGTGTGCGTATGATGCGTGGGGGTGTGCCCACGCGTGTGTGTGCACGCTGCGGGGGGGGCCGGAAAATTCAGGGAGCGGGTGGGAGCCGCTCTCAGCCACCCGGTACCGGGGGTGCCCGGCCGAGCCCCCCCACCCGAGGGCAGCTCGGGACCGGTTCCCGAGGTGGGGGCAGCACCCAGCGCCCCCGCCCCCCGGGACACCCACGCGGCTGCAGCCCCCCGGGGCCATCCCGGAGCTCCGGTCCCGCCGCCCGGTCCCGGTCCCTGTCGTCCCCCCGCCCGGTTCCCCGGAGGATGCCGGCGGCGGATTCATTCGAGGAACCGCGGGAGGGTCACGGACACCGACCCGGCGGAGCCACGACCCCCCCCCCGCCGCCCCCCGCCCCTCTCCACGCCAGCCCCGACGGCAGGAAGACGCGCCTCCCCCCGCCCTGTCGGCGACAGAGCTGTCACGACAAAGCCCACCAGCCCCGCGGTGAGCGGCGGCGGATTAACGAGACTCGGCGGCGCGGACACCCCCCCCACTCCCCCCCCCCACCGCCCCGCCTCGACGGTCCTCCGAACCCCACGGAGCCTCCCCCGTTGCCTGTGACAATCCCTGTCGTGGGGAGCGTGGTCTCTGTCACGACACCGGCGACGCCGTCGGTATCGCCTCTTGGGCGCACCGGGCTCTACCGGCATCAACCCCCCGGGGGGGAGCAGGGAAGGGGGGGGCGGGAGGGGGTCCGGAACGGGGGGGTCCCCGCCTTGATGGGGCCCCCGACGCGCTCCCGGCTCAGGCGCGCTCCCGGGGGAGGCGGGGGGCGGCGGCGCTCACGGGCGCGGGCGCGGACACGGGCGGGGGCTGCGCGCTCTGCCCCGCGCACGGTCGCGCCCCGCTCCGCTCCTCTCCCTGCCGGTACCGCTGCCGGTACCGCTGCCGGGATCGTTATCCCGGTAAGTGCCGGCGCGTAGACGGGGCGGGCGGGGGATGTGATGCGCCGGTAACCGACCGGCGGGGATGCCCCGTACGGGGCGGGGGGGTGGGGGGTGACACGGGTGTGAGCCCTGTCCGTGAGCGGAGTGTCCGCGACCGGTACCGGCACCGGCAGCGGCACCGGCAGCGCAGGGACCCGTCGGGCCGCCGTGTCCCGACAGGACGGGACCGGGTCGGGGGGAAGCACCGCGGCAGCAGCCCCCGCCGCAGCCCCCGCTGGGGGCTCCGGGACTCCCGGGGGCAAGGTCGGTCTTAACCCCAACGGGAACGGGAGGAGCGGGGCGGGTGGCCGCCGCCGCCGCCGGGATTTCGTTACCGTTCGTTAACCGGAGCTCCGGGACGCGGCAAACGACCGAGAGGCACCGCGGGGGGGGTGACCGGTCCCGGTCCTTAACGCCCCTCTCCGCCCGCAGCCCCCGCGCTGGCCGCCGGCATGAAGACGGAAGAGGCTCCGTCCTGCCTGCAGCAGGCAACGCCGGTCCTGGGCTTCGGTGAGTGCCGGGGAGACCGGGAACGGGGGCCACGCACCGGGGAGCGGGGACACCCTCAGCCCCCCCAGCCCGGGCTGCTCAGGCAGCATCCGTGACTGCTTGCCCCCTCCTCATCCTCCCTGGGTCGCTCCAGGGGTCTCGGCGTGGCCGTAAGTTGAAGCGGGACCCGCCGGCCCTGCCCGCGTTGCCCGTTTTCTTCCCAACCGTACGATCCCATCGGCCGTCAACGGCATTTCCCGCTCCTCTGCGGCGTTTATTCCCCGCTCGGGAAGGAGATTCCTTCCTCCCCTCCCCGGATTGTCGGGGTGACCGGGGGAGAGGGAGCACCCCCCCCCTCCCCTCCCTCAGCCTGCCTTTGTGGGTTGCCAATTTGGAGGCAGCAGAAGCCACGGCGAGAGGTTGGCACGCTGCAAAATGCCATCTTGCAACCCCAAAGCAGCTGCGGCTCCGTGGGCTGAGGTTGTCCCTGAACTGCAGCCGGCATCGGCACGAGGCGCAGAGCCCAGGAAGGACGGGGACACCTCAAACACCCATCCCTTGTCCACCCCAACCTCCCGGATACCCCCCCCCCAGAGGCTCGGCTGATCCCGGTCCTTCGCTGATTTTCGGGAGCATCCCATGCAGGGCCAGGCTGCAGTGGCGTGGCCCTGGACCAGCCCAGCCCCGGGGTGATCACTTGGCTTTGCTGACCCCAATTATAAATTACAGCGAAGATAATCGCCCCCTGAGACCCGGTGGGGGAGTTCACGCGCCGTGGGAGGGCCTGGACGCGGGGGGTTAATTCTGGATAATTCTGGGATGAGGCACCCGGGAGCTGCCTCCCTTCGCCTGGGTGCCAGGTCGTGTCCCCCTTGTTGTCCCTTTTCCCTTTCTCCGAGAGCCACAACATGGTGGGGTGGGATTGCTCTTCGTTAACGTCTTTGCGAATCCCAACTGTTGCATTTTTTCCTAAGCCTGACGACTTTAGGGCAGCGTAAGGCACAATCTCCTTTACTTTCAGTTTTGCCTCTTTCTCCCGGGCTGGGGGGGGGTGGTGGTGGAGGGTGGTTCAGGCAAACTGATAGTTTTCCCAGAATTTTTCACAGCCCCCCTCTCCCCTCCGGAGCTCGGGGCCGCTCGCTCATCCCCCATTGTGTTACGGCATCACCGTTCTCGTGGCCTTGTGCCGAGCAAGAATCAGCTGTGACTTATTGCAGGGCCAAAACCTCCGCTCCGGGCCCTGCCCGCGTGTCCCGAGCCACGGCACGGGCAGGATTTTGCTGCCTCCCACCACCCCGAATCCCCACCACCCTCCTGCCTGCTCACGGGGCCAGAGGGAGGGACAAACATCCCCAGGCTGAAGTTTTGTGTCTCTCCCTTTTAGCCTGATCCCACATTCCCCCAGCACCCTGGCAATTTAACTATCTGCTCTCAGAATAATTTCCTATTAGATTATTCTCTGCTTTTTCCCCCTAAATTAAAGAGGAGTTGGGGATTTTTAGTCCCAGATGCCTCTAACCCACTGGAGGTTTGGCTGATCCCACGGTGACACGCAGCCCATGGGGTCAAAGTCAAGAAGGGTGAAAATGTATTGACTCCAGATGTTAATAATGGAGGAAAAAGTGAGAAGCAGAGTCTCAATGTGGCATAAATATCCACGGAGAATCCCTGCACGTGCCCACAGCCCCTGGGACGTGGCTGCTTGTTGCCTTGCCCGCCCACGCTGCCCTCCCAGCACCATTATAATTCTCATGCTGCTGCTCTGGCACCACCAGCAGCATGGCAGACATTATTTTTTCCTCTTCATGGGCTAAAATCCTCCTTTCCGCTCCCAGTCTGCTGGATCCTGATCCTCGAGAAGGGCTCTCGGGATCTGGTCCCCTCCAGCTGGTGCTGTCACCCCATTTCCAGGTCCCAGCACTTAATTAACGAGCTGTGCCGAGCCTGGGAGCGGCAAAGGACTTGGCTTGCAATGCCGGCTGGGATGCAGGAGAGGCAGGACCCAAAGCCAGGCACCGCAGTGAAGTGGGGCAGAAGCTGCCTTCCCCCACAAGACATCCCCATTTTTGGGGCGCCTAGAAAGCCCAAAATGAGCCAAATTTGCTCCCCGCAAGCAATCCCTCCGGCGCTGGTGTAACGACAGCAGCACCCTTCGAGGCAGGGAGCATTCGCTGCGGTTTCAAATGATTTCAGGGCTTTGGGAAAGCAAAAATTGGACAGAAAAAGTGTTCAGGAAGCTTCCTGCTTGTGGATAACTTTCCGACTGTGCCTTGACTGTGGCTCATCCATTTTCCTATCACCACTTTGAACCTGCTGAGTCCAAAGAGCCAAAAAACAAGTCGCTGATGGGCTGATTCAGGGTCCTTCGTCAAAGGAGGAGTGTGGTCAGGTGCAAGGGCAGCTTCCCAGATCCTGGGAGAGATCTGCAGGGCTGGGAAGTTCTCTGCGTGTTCCTGGAGAAGCAGAAAATCCCCTTTTGCTGGAGATGCTCCTCCGGGTCTCCCAGCCTTGCGCAGAGGCGCCCAGCTCTCCCCTGGAACGCGTCTCCTGCCATTTGCCACCGCTGCTTGTCGGCTTTGCGTCCTTGCCATGGGACGGTGCCCAAATGAGAGCCGGGCTTCGTGTTGCCCCTCAACCCCACGTCCCTCCAAGGTGCAGCAGGAGACCTTGGTTGCCCTTGGCAGCTCACTGCCTTTTAAAACAGCCGTAAGCATCATCCACGGGGTGCCAGCATCCCCCCAACCCTCCGAGGGGGGCTCGGGCGGGTGCTACCCCAGGAAGCTGATAAAAAGGAGGATAAAAGCGTCGAGAAGCTGGAGAGGACAGAGATAAGTGCTCATAAAGGCCAAGGAGCTTGGCAGGGTGGAGGTTGTGGACACTGGAGAGGGTGCTGCTGCCTGGCTCAGCCTGCGACCCAGATCCAGCGCGCCAGATAGCGCATTTATTGCTCACTCCTTTACCTTGAAGTTATCCCGACGAAGCCTTTGAAGAGCAGCCATAGATTTACATGTTGATAATGCTGAGGAGAGAAAAAAAAAAAAAAAAAAAAATGCCCAAGCTCTGGAGGCTTTTTGAGCAGCTCTTAGCACCAAATCTGAGGTGAAACTGGACAAAATTCAGACGCGGGTTTGTCCTCTGACCTGGACCAAGGTTTCCAACAAGCTCAGCACCCACCCTCTCCTGCTGAGACGCATATATATTTGTTCTCCCATCCCCAAATGTGTGTTCTCCACGTCCTCTGTGATTTATACAGCGCCAGAGCCGTGGGCTTGGGGTTCACCAGGAATTTACCACCTGCAGAGAAACCCCAAACCTGCTGCTTTCGCAGAGCCAACTTTGACCTTTATTTCCAAGGTTGTCACAAACCCCTCCATGCTGAGCCTCCCTTCTCCCTCTCCTACAGTAACGCCACGTGGCTTTAAAAAAAACAAAGCAAAAAAACAACAGTAGGTGGTTGCAAGGAGTTATGTGAGGCTCAGCATCACCCCCTCCCAAGAGGCAGAGACTATTACTGCAGGACATGATCCCCCCCCACCCCAGCAACGGAAAATTCCTTCTCACGCCGTCTTTTCCCTGCTGCCCAGGTTCGGACTCCAAGATGCGGGAGGTGTGTGCTGGCTGCGACACCCCCATCTCCGACCGGTTCCTCCTGCGAGTCAACGAGCGCTCGTGGCACGAAGGGTGCGTGAAATGCGCCGTCTGCCTGCAGCCCCTCTCCGGGACCTGCTACTGTCGCAACCGGCAGCTCTACTGCAAACACGACTACGAGAAGTAAGTACCCTCTGGTTTTCTCTGATTTTTTTTTTTAATTTTTTTTTTTGATCTTCCCTCTCGGCTCTGTTTTGGCTGTGTTGGAGGCAGGGTGGGTTCAAGGAGGAGGTGGGGTTCTGGAGGGGTGGGTTGGGAAAGGGCATCGTGGTGTCGGTGTCACGTAGGCGGGTGAGGAGCAGGTGAGATGACAAGGACCACAGAGGTGTCCTGCAAAGGGATGCTGTCCAAAAAGAGAGACAGATGTGTTTAGCTTTGATATAACATGGTGACATGGCAGGGAGGAAGAGGAAGGAGCGAGCTGTTGGCTGAAAAGGCAAAAAGGATGAGCTGTTGGCTGGTGGGATGCTTTTTCAAGAAATGAGGATGTCCAAGGCTGCGCAGGAGATGACGGCACTCCTTGTCCTTCTGGGACACAGGGGCCGGGACGTTTAACCCGAGGAGCTTCTCTTTGCAGCGACGGTTCTGCTCGTGGGGTGAGAGCAGCTCGGACGAGGACAGGAGCGGGATGTCCCTGCACCATTCCGGCCCCTTCCTGCCGCAGGGCACCCGCTCCTCGGCACAAGGGAGCCCACGTCCGTGGTGATGCCGCGTGGCTCTGCCCGTCGTGGCCGTGGGCAGGTGCTGGGCTTGGCTCGGCTTGTGGTGGGAAATCCTGTCCCTTCAGGGGGGTCAGCACTGTCAGTGGAAAGGAAAGGAAAGGAAAGGAAAGGAAAGGAAAGGAAAGGAAAGGAAAGGAAAGGAAAGGAAAGGAAAGGAAAGGAAAGGAAAGGAAAGGAAAGGAAAGGAAAGGAAAGGAAAGGAAAGGAAAGGAAAGGAAAGGAAAGGAAAGGAAAGGAAAGGAAAGGAAAGGAAAGGAAAGGAAAGGAAAGGAAAGGAAAGGAAAGGAAAGGAAAGGAAAGGAAAGGAAAGGAAAGGAAAGGAAAGGAAAGGAAAGGAAAGGAAAGGAAAGGAAAGGAAAGGAAAGGAAAGGAAAAGGAAAAGGAGAAAAGAGAAGAGAAGAGAGAGAAGAGAAGAGAAGAGAAGAGAAGAGAAGAGAAGAGAAGAGAAGAGAAGAGAAGAGAAGAGAAGAGAAGAGAAGAGAAGAGAAGAGAAGAGAAGAGAAGAGAAGAGAAGAGAAGAGAAGAGAAGAGAAGAGAAGAGAAGAGAAGAGAAGAGAAGAGAAGAGAAGAGAAGAGAAGAGAAGAGAAGAGAAGAGAAGAGAAGAGAAAGAATAGAATGGAAAAGAAGCAGAAAAAGAATAGAATAGAATAGAATAGAATAGAATAGAATAGAATAGAATAGAATAGAATAGAATAGAATAGAATAGAATAGAATAGAATAGAATAGAATAGAATAGAATAGAATAGAATAGAATAGAATAGAATAGAATAGAATAGAATAGAATAGAATAGAATAGAATAGAATAGAATAGAAATTTCAGTTGGAAGGGACCTACAATGACCATCCAGGAGAAGACAGGGCTGTCGCGCTCCTCTGCTTGTTGTATAATTTTAATTGCATATCAAGTGAGGTGTTTGAGTGCTCGTGAGTCCAGAGAGAGCTGAACGGAGGGAAGCGGAGCCGGAGGGGCTGAAGGCATTTTGTAAGTGGAATGTTGGTTTGTGGTGGTGCATGTGGAAGGAGGCAGCCCGAAAATGAAGGGGTGGCAGGTACCTGGAGGGGCCGCGGGGCAGCTGGGGAAGCAGCCGCCCTGCGTGTCGCTGGGATCTGCTCTGCACTGCGTGGTTTGGGAAAAGAGAACCATTGCTGTGTGTGAAATCCTCGGGGAAAAAAAAAAAAAAAAAAAAAAGTAGGCTTTTAGATTTATCCCACACCCAGCCTTGTCTGCAAAACTCAAAGAGCAGCATCTCCCGCAGCGCTGGAGACGCTGAATTCCGGCGGCACCTGCGCTGGCGGCGCGGCTGCACCCTGCCCCAGCACTAAAGCTGTGGAAGTTTTTTTGCCTTTAGTGATCATAAATGCACTTTGATTAACGAAGCTGCTTTTCTCACACTGCTGGGAGGTGAACGGGGGGTGGAAAAATCTTCCCCCTCTGCCACTGTCTGGCTCTGTGGCCACAGGGAAATCCTTTCCCCTTCACTCTGACCCACTTTGATTGGAAACCGGAGCCTTCACCCTTCGCTTTCCTTCAAACGCTGGTGACGTCCTTTTCCGAGGGGCATCGGGAAACCTGGGGAGCCTCTTTGTGCACCCCCATTTTTTGCAGCCTGGAAGCATTTTGCAGCAGAGCAGCCGCTGGAAATGAGTGTGGGAGGACAGGGAAAGGGGCTGCCTTCTAAGGACAGCCTCACGTCCCCAAATTGGCCTTCCCCCGGCGGTCACCGCGAGTCCCCTGATGGCATTTTTTTTGGGGGGGGGGTGTGGGGGTGGTGATGTGTCACAACAAGCCACTCATTTCCCCTGAGGCTGATCCCTGAGCTCTGAGCAGTGAGAGCCCGTCCGCCGGCCACCCCCTTTTCCTCCAGCATCTCAGGAACTGAAGGGAGTGCAGGATCTGCCCCCCCACCCCCCGCCCCGAGCAGGACTTTGAATGATGAGCCAGCGCCACAGCCTCCTGCCTGGATGCACCAACCGAGTGGCATCGCTCCGCCGGGGCAGGGTCGATCCTGCCGGAGGTTTTCTCTTGGCACAGAGCACCCTGGGCATGGCTGTAAATAAACGGAGCTGCTTTCACACCAGCTGCTGGCTCCAGGCACCTTGCAGCAGGGCAGGGGATGGCTCGAAGGCAGAGGATGGCTCAAAGGCTGCTGCCTTTCCTTTTGCCTCTGGCAAGAGAGCTAAATAACCCCAGTGACACTCCAGTAAACTTCAGCTACATCGGGAAACGCTGTGAGCGTCTCCCTCCCTGGTCTAGGGAGCTCCTCGGAGCTCAGCAGCTCCCTGACGTCGCTGCCTGTCACCGCAGCCGCTGGCAGTGCCATTAGTGCCACGGCACTGGGCACCGAGAAGATGGCCCGGGCTCAGTTGGTGGCTCATGTGGATGGTGATGCTTCCTCGGAGGCCGGATGAGCATCTCCTGTGGGCACAACACAAACTGCTCCCCCACGCTCCCTCCCGGTTCATCTCTCCCGTGTCGAGACTTCCACGGAAATATTAGTGGGGGAGAGTGGTGCTGCCTGGAAAGCCTGTGTCTGTGACCCCCCAAGCTCACGTCTGGCTGTGACCTCCTGTGGCTGGTGCCGCTGGGAAGAGCTGGTGACGGGACACACAGGCATCCAGTGATGCTGCCGGGAAGATGCTCCACCAATTCCCTGAAGTTTGGCAGCATCCTCTAAAGACTTAACGGTCCGACCTTATCTTCCCTGCACTTCATAACGGAGAGCACAGCCTCCTCCCAGCCACTGACGCAAGCGCTTGGCAGCGATGGGGATGGTAATAAAAATATCGGAGCTTGCCCACTTCCCCGGGGTGGCTGGGAGAGGCAGGGATGAGGAGCTGGGCAGGCACAGCCACAGCTTGACGTGGAGAGGAAGGACAGGCTGCCTGAGCACAGCAGCACCCACAGCGGCCTGGCGAAGGGTGAGGGTCCCGGGATGCTTTAAAGCAAGGGGGGTGGAACCCTGTGAGGTCTTGGCTTTGGCTGCTGTGCAGGTAGACAGGAGCCAGGCACTGGAGCGGGTTTGACCACTGTGGTTAAGAGTAACCAGATAAAAACAGACCCCAGACGGGTCTGCAAGGAGCACCGTCTCCTCCTCCAGGCAGTTGGGTGCCTGACCCGAGGCCAGTGACGGCAGTTCCACGTGGAGAGACCTCAGCCTCCAACATTGCTTTTTTGCTGTTGATTTTGGGGCAGGATAGCGTGGCCATGCTGGTTTTTTAACTAGCACCGTGCTGCATTCAGCTGCAGCTGCAGGGCTGCAAACCCCTGGCACGGTCTGTTCCATCCCGCTTCTGCGCTCCAAAGTCTCTTGGCCAGTTTCAAAAACGCCCCGAAGGGTCTCCAGCTCCTTCGATGCTTTTGAAAGTTGGTGCTTCAGGCACTTTTGAAGGCGTCTCCACTCAGCACCTTTGTGCTTCCAGCATGGGAATTTCCAGGGAGGCAAACTCTCAGTCCTCCTGTTTGGAAATCTTGTCCCCCAGAGTATTCATTCTTGGCCTTGACTTTCCAAAGTTCGTGTTTTTGGCCAGTGATGAATCCCAGACTGCAGAATCCAGTGTCGCCCTGGGCTGCGGCGTAGACCGGGGCTTGCAGCGCGGTGACCTGGAGGGGAGACCCATCTGGCATTTATTCCTTCTCATGTGAAACTGCGCAATAAGAGGAAAATGCTTTAATGGAGAGATAAGCCAGCAGCTGCAGCTGAACGTGGGGGAAGGAACGGACTGTTGATCTAGAGATGAAATGTTAAGCCTGAAGATGGATGTTGTTCTGCAGTCCCTATCATATAAAACCACAATCTGAAGGCTTTTGTGAAACTCTCCTCTTCCCCTTTTGCCTGGGGCCCAGCCAGCTCTCCTGCGCTTTGCTCAGGCACCTGCCCTGTAAATCCAGCTCCGGGCAGCTCGTGTAAATGCAATGGCTCAGGAGGAGGAGGGGGGAGGAAGGAAAAATACTCCTGAACGATGATAGAGTGGCTGCAACGGCCGGGTCCTGGGCGCCTTGTTTACTTTGAAGTTTGTTTTGTGGAATGACAGGCGATGTGGGGGCTGCCGGGGAGCTGTCAAGAGGGATCTGAACCGCAGCCTTGCGCTGGCAGCCTTCCCCCTCTCCTCCACACTCTCCTTTTGCCCATGTGGAGATGATTTGCTCGTCCTCTGTAGAGATACGGGGTGAACTCGGCTCGAACCTGACTTGCAGCTTCTCCATTGCCGAGCGGCTGCCGGCACGTGACCGGCACAGCTGAGCACAGCCCGAGTCCTCGCGAGTGCCCTTCCCGGTCTTTGCCTGAATCACCGCGGTTTCTCCATCTGGTTGGAGAGGCGAGAGGGTTGAGGAGGGGTTGACCAGCACATCCCAGCCATCGGCTCTGCCTCCGTCCATTTTGGGGTCCTCCCGGGGCTAT